GGCTCAGGAAAATGTATGGAGACCTGGAGTGTCAATACTGCGGTGAGATGAGGCAGAGATTTTTTTTTAACTTTGACCAGTGAAAGCTTGCGGATTTTACCATGCATTGTAATTCATAGCTATGACATTTGAGAAAATTGCACCTATAACCGAACTAAACATGAATTTATAAATATTACCATATAGTGTATATTATTGTCTTACATATGATGATGATGATGATTATTATTAGTATATTAGAATTATTAATATTGTGAATGTGCGAGAGAGAAAAAAATAAGCACAGATTTGGAATCGGCGCCAAAACAGACGTCATCTTGAAAAGTTTACTGTTTACTTGCACCTCTGATTAAAAAGAAAATTGCAAAAATTTGTTAACCAGTGTTAATAAAATAATTGTCAGTTCCCCGCCTATTATTAAATTGAAATGCTTCTGATTGCGTTTCACAACAACAGTGTGCCACTAAGTGCGAAAAAGAAGCACAGAGTGCGACAAGAAAGCAATGCAGTATTTTATAGCTTCGTAAGTGTGCTAGCCAATTTAGCTTGCTTATTGTCACATGTATGTAAATCCTTCAATCTCTCCAACTTTGGGTCACTTTTTCTCCAGATCAGAGTATTGAAAGGTTGATTCCCCACATGCATATTGATATATGGAAGGAATCCTGATGTCCAATGGCGTACATCGTCATCTACAACCATACATTTCTAGTTGTCTTTGTGAATTTAGGAATTACTGTATGATGCAGCACTTTTAATTTATCTAAGTGCATTGTTCTAATGGTCAAAATTGCTTTTGTGTTCTCCATAGGAAAACTGTTCTGGTACAAAGTCCACTATAACGCCCATGTACGCACACACACCAAGGAGCACCTGCACTACTGCTCAAAGTGTAACTACTCATCCATCACCAAAAACTCTTTGAAGAGGCACCTGATTCAGAAGCACAGCGGCTTGCTGCTATCTTGTTCGAGTCCGGGATGCAAATACACCACACCTGACAAATACAAACTACAAGCCCATCAGAGGAGTCATCAACAAGAGGTAACAAATCTGTAACAATCTAGATCTACTTAAATCTTGCCTATAGATCCCAGATCCCAAGACTGCCTGATATTGGTGGACGCATTTACACGTACGGCTTTGATGAAATGTCTTAAGTTATTTTTTTGTTTGTTTTTGTGCAGTGGATTCTGCAAATTTGGGATATTTAGGGTGTGTTTAAATAAGCGGATAACTGAATAGAACGTAACTTTCATTGAGCTATTGAAATCCAAATATAGCCCTGTTTGTCATTTAAAAGTTTTAATATTTAATTTCACTGTGTCTTTTTATTATTTTTTTAAATTTAATGTCACTGTTATTGCGTTGATTGCAGAGCAAGAGTGCACCCTGTCCCATCTGCCATCAAAGCTATCCAGAGCACAGAATTCAACGACACATCCGAATATCCCACCCTGGTAAAAGACACATAAATATAGCAACATACTGAGGCTGATATACGCATTCAAGTTAAAAGAAATAATGATAGTAGTAAAATGTCATTGAAATTCATGTATCCAATCCAATCCAATTTAGGCTGTCACTTCTGTACTATGCTGTAACATCTGTCGACTTGCCCAAGCTGCATCCTAAATACAGGACTTGACGTGTGCTTAATTGTGTGTTGAACAGATACATTGCCAGTTAAAGGGCAGATGGTGAAGCGAGCAGAGAAGTGCCCATATTGCGACTCTTACTATCTCAAGAACAGCAGTGAATTTCAGCAGCACATCTGGGCCCACCAAGGTAAGATGTCTCCCTACCATTGACAATTGTACTGATTGACTCATGAAATTACAAGTTAAGGGACACTCATATCGATGAAACAGACAAAATATCACCATATTCTCCTCAAAATACACTTTTGTGTGGTCAAATACAAGAATTCTGCCTTTGTGTACATTTTATTATTGTGGTTGTAATTTGGAGCAGCGTAGAAAAATCCTTGCGTGCTGACTTGCTTTGTTTGAGTTTGTTTTCACACAGTTGTAAATTTCATTTCTTTTCATTTGCAGGTGTGAAACCATTTGTCTGCAATATTTGTGACTATGCGAGCCGCAGCAAGAATAACTTGAAAAATCACATGAACCGACATAACAAGGAAAGATGTCATATCTGTGACCTGTGCGGTAAAACATTTAAATCTAAAGTATCGTTGAAGAACCACAGACTGAGCCACACTGACCAAGGTACGTCCTCTTTAGCAGTGCGGATCCTTGGCCTGACTTAGCATTGTTTTCTTTATTTGCTTATACTTTATGTTATTTCTATTTTGACATTGTTCAATATGTTTTCTCAAGACTTTTTGATGAATATGGCCTTCGCATATTGACCCCCTTCTGTTTTTTTTCTTTCTTTTTTTTAACTCAAGGGAAGCAGTTCAAGTGCTCAGAGTGCGACTTCAGTTCAGTTTTCAAGGCTCCTTTGGTCAGACACATGGAGCAGCATGCCAAATTTAAGGTCAGAATTGTTTGTAGTCCCCTTTGCAAAAGACTACCGTGGCTCTACTGTTTTACTAAGAAAAACATGCTTGCATATTTAAGTCAATGTACTCACACAAACAGCAATCACAAGATCCTCGGAGCAAAACAGCAACCAAAAAAAAAGCATAAAAAATCCACGTATATTAAAACTGTCATCATGGCTTATTAATCAGTTTTCACAAAAAAATTATAAATGCATTGGAAAAAGAATGAAAATAATCAAATGTTCAACCACAGGCATAAAACCTTCCTGTGATTTGTCAATTCTTGCCTGACACAGATTTCATGTACAGTACTGTCTGCCTAACTTCCTATGCTTGTTTGTAGCCATTTCAATGTGCTCACTGCCTCTACTCCTGCAACACAACCGGTCCCCTGAAACGACACTACAAGACCAAACACCCAAACCAGGAATATCAAAATGTCAGAGAAGGTCTCTCAGAGGCAGAGTATTCTACAGAACAAGGTTTGAACTTAAGTTTCTGGCTTTCCGTTCAGTGACAGGCATTTTTTTAACTCATGGACTCTCAGCGAAAATGTACCTTGTGATGACCTGGCATTCTCGAAGTGGCCGGTTGCTCTTTTGAAGCATACATGCGTAAAATATGACGACTCCTATAATTCTCAAATTGTTTCCATGCTTTTCTGTCATTTATTTCACACAACACAAAAAGTGTTCTGAGAATAAATGCATGCATTTTGTCTCTGTCCATGTTCAGGCCTCAAATGCCCTGAATGTAATTTTGTTTATGGCACCAAATGGGAGCTGAATCGACACATGAAGAAGCATGCTTCAAAAGAGGTGGAATGCACCTTGGAGGTACAAACTCAGACATGATAATGCTTATGTTGTTACAGCATGAGAGGTACACATTTAACCCTATGTTTATTATTGAGGTTGTGGCATAAAGCGGAGTCCTGCATGTCATCATACTGAAAACTCTTTAAACTGGTTAACCCCTGTCTTATAACGAAAATAGTAACCAACATATTTTAAACAACTTTCAACAACGTCAACCACAATCATAACCACATTATTTGAATACATCTCAGGGTTTATTTATTCAGTTGGTGCTATATATATGTTCTCTGTGTGAATCCATATTCAGGTGGAAGAGACGGTAGAGAGCCAATATGTCCCTTTGGTGCAAGAAGAAGCGTTGACAGGAGAACATGTAGCTACCCTACAAGACAACGGTGATGAAAGTACTCTGCAAGCAAAATAACAAATCAGTGGCATATAACAGTTGTTGTTTATGATTACATGTGTACAGGGACTGATCGTATTCTCCAGCAAATTGTTGAGTTAAGCTCAGAAACTCACGACGCCATCACATCTATGGTCGCCATGGCTCCCGGCACTGTTGCTGTGGTTGAACAGGTAAACAGTATTCTGTGTGACTCAGGACATCACGGCTTTGAAAAATGTGATGCTGATTTCGTGGTGGCATCTGCAGGTGGCGGATGAGGAGGAGGCCGCCGGCAACCACCAGCTGATGGTTGTAAACGCAGATGGGGATCTTTCTGGTGAGCAGGTGATGGTGGTGGAGGAGGGACATGAACTGGAGGCCCTGACAGTCCTCACTCAAGATGACAACACTCATCACTTTATCTTCTATGTCGAGGAACAGACTGTGGAATTCAACTAATAATGGTTACATTTCATAATAGGTTGTCAATATCTTTGAGTTATCCATAACCACACATATTGGGATATTACACATACACAAAATACCACTAAGCAGTACAGTATGAATTCTTCCACAGGTTAATAAGTTATCATTACATGTGCAAAACCTTAATACGTGATTTTTTTACTTACACAGCGCATTAAAAAAAAACCCTGGCTTGTACTTGTTGGCGTGTTAAGTGGTTTTATTTACCAAGTGAAACTGAATTGCTATTCAGTGAATAAATGGAGTATTTAGCAAAGGCAAAAAGCCAGCAGTTTATGTTCTACTTTACAAACTGTCCCTTGTAATGTTATTCTTGATAATTAATGGTATTCTTTCATGTGCAGACACTGATCATAATCTCAAGAATTAGTGAACAGATAAATATCAATATACTACTAATCTAAGCCAGTGTCAACATTCCCAGAAAATCACACGGTTCCCTCACCGGTGAGCTATTTTTAGAACAGGCTGGCAGGATACCATGGTCCTTGGGGCTACCTGGAACCTGCGGGCACCATGTTTGTGACCAGTGAACCCTGATGTACGTAATTATTCACTTTTTTTAAAATTGAACTACTGAAACAAATGACATTTTCCCACAATAGTATTTATTGAAATCCACCTGTATGTTGCATCTTGTTCACAAATTAGTAGCATCCTTAGAAAACTAACTAAATAACATGAACTTAGTTTGGGCAAGCATTCTGCAGTTCTGCATTTTCAATACAAAATGTTCAAATCTACTTAACTATGGAAAATACTGGGACAGGAGAGGCATAAAATGTAGTCTGTAACGTGCAAGTGAAAAGTGAAACAAAGGTAAAAAAGTAAAGTAAAAAAATAATAATAATTAATACTCAATTGTATTTCTGTCCAGTGGGTGGCGGTTGTGTATTTTCTTGCATAGACTTGCAACCATATGAAAGAGAAGAAGACTACATGGTGGGAAATTTGACAGATGGGCCAAAATTGTTGTCACCGGTTTTAAACAAGCGGGCTTTTATGTTATTATTCGCAAGATAATACGACATGGACAGATATGTACTTGTTTTATCCGTCTGTCAGGCGGATAACGAAGAAACGGAGGAGTGCAAATGTAAGTTTTGACTTCCTTGTGTGAATTACCGCGCTATCAGCGTTTACTAACGAACTAACCTTTCGGCCATGGTGGTTTTCGTTAGATAATGAATGTGTATTCTAAAGACGAAGGGAAGACTTACATTTGACAATACATTACTAGAGTCAGACGGTACAAACACGCCGATTACGTGCGAATCATTTCCAAGCTAACTAAGTTTGCCTTGTTTTGCTCACTCCCTTAAAACAATTTGCATGGTTTCATTTGATTTTTTTTGTTGTTTCGAATGTTACAGCTAACGTTCAAGAGCTTCGATGACAATACACAAACTGTCCCCATCATTAGGTACACTGAGACAATTTGATGTGCAGTTATGCCAAGAGTACAGTTTATATTCAAGGCAACAGCGCTCAGCTCTGACTGGCACGTCACAGAGTTATATATATTTTAATTTGTTAACGTTTTTAATCACTGTATTTATTTTGTGGTGATACTCGACTAAGTGTAACATTTTGATTATTTAGCTTTTGTAAAGTGCATTTTCAAACACGCCCCTGGGATGTGTGGTCTTCGATTTCGCATGTGTACCGAATGTTGTGACTGGTTATTGTGATTGTCAGTTTACATCTAATGTTGTCTTGCACAGGTCTGGACCAGTCGAAGCAGATTTATGAACAAATTGTGGCATTCTCCTCTCAGGAAACAGCCAGAGGAGTCTCTGTGCTCCCACGTGCGTTTTTACATCTATCTATCTATCTATCTATCTATCTATCTATCTATCTGTCTATCTGTCTGTCTGTCTGTCTGTCTATCTGAGGTCTCACTCATAAAACCATATTGTTACTGTAAAATTTGTTACTGTAAAATTTACTTCCTTCTCTTTGTAGCGTGTTCTCTCAGTGGAGGCCCTTCATTTCAGAGGTGGTACTTTGCTGTTCAGGCTTGCCATGGCGAAATGCAGGTAGAATTTTGGAGTTGAAGTGCCCCAAAACACACAGTTGCTGTTTATGCTTCCTTTATTTTGTGATGCGAGAAATGTCGTAGCCTACTCACAGAAGGAAAATTAATCTACCAGTAATTGATTCATCCAACACAACTGAGTCACAAGATACTGGTAAAAATACAAAATGCCCAAAATTCATAAATGAAATCAAAGTAATGTAACAAACTGAAAACAAATTGAGGTAACTCTTTATTGAATGAAAGGTGACAATAAATATGTGCATACATGTGTTGTAGTTTTGCAGCTCAGATTGGGAAGAGGTGGGTTCAGTCCACCAGAGAGTGGACAATGAAGAGGAGAACCAAACTGCTTTGGAGCTGTGTGTTGGTTCCCTGAGTCTTCAGGAGGGATCGGTTCAAAAGTGTGACGAAGCAACTCTGACTGAGTGAGTTTGGATTTTCTCTGCAGTTATATAGCTGATCCTTCATTATTTTTCTGTACACGTGGTCTGAGGCTGGTCTGAAATTGTTTGCAGAATACATACATATTCAAGTATGAAGATATTGATGAATCACACAAATGTGCGTCAAATGTGTGGACACACATTTTGTGCACAAATTGGTGCGTACGCATGGGTTGTAAATGAGGGCCAGTGTTTCAGTGAATTAATCTGATCATGGCACAAAACTGTCACCATGATAAAACCTTTATTAACTGCAGAGGCAATGTTTTAAGTAAGATTTAACATTCCAAACTGTCATGAAAGTCTTAAGAGAAGTCAAATCTTCAGCAAAATCCTGAACAGTCAAGTAAAGGAATCTACACAGCGTTCTCCTTGATCAGAGATATTTGCAAAGTTTGATGTGAAGTGTTCAAAGGTTGACCATATCCAGCTACTACCACAGTCAGAATGAGAAAAAAAATCTCATTTGAAATACGATGGTTTGTGGCAAATATCCCTGGAATATGCCATTTGTGGATGGTGCTTAACACAGACGGTAAGAGAAATACAACAGCAACTAAATGTTATGAATATATAAATATTAAACACCCGGCCAACTTTTACCCTCTCGCATTAATGTAGGTAAGTGATTGCGGCGTGAGCGATGTCTCGCCAACTATTCTTGCTTTGTCAGTGGTACAGGATGTGTCTATTCAACTTAGCCAAGTAACACATCATCCGTCATATGTTTGGTGGAACAAAAAGTCTTGGCGACTTGCTCTTTAAGGCCACTGTTTTTCAGCATGTTTTAATTTTTTTTTCTTTTTTTTCACCAATGTAAGTCTTGTCAAACCCAGATCTTTGTTTTTGTACGGGTCAGTTTTGTTGACAGTCTTAATACCTGATTATTTAAAATTGCACATGGTGAAAGCAACTTTGATGCTAACATCGAGTGATAGATATCGTCGCTAGGCATCGCTGGAAAGAGTAAAGCCTTCTGATATTTAAATGCACTATACAGCACAGATTGTCAGCAAATTGGGACAATGTTGAGAGTGATTGATGTATGAAAATGTCTATGATTGCCTGTATTCGTAGGTATCAAAATAGGTATCAAAATACATTCATGCAATGTAACCTAAAAAAATAAATGGCTTACATTACAGATAATTTGATTAGTTTGTGTGTACATGCAGATCCAGCGAAGATTAACACCCTGGCTAAATTTAGTTCCTGCCCCACATACAAAGCTTGCCTCTCAGTCCAGAGGTATCAATGAAATATACCTCCTTGAAAACAATTTGCACAATTTTTTTTTAATTGCTTATCTAGACAGGGGCTTGGTGACAAATTGTGGCATGTTTTAGGAACAGCACAAAAACTACAAATATGTTTTTCAGTAAATTGATGGGAATAGGTTCCATAGAAGAAAAAAACACGTTTAATCCATGAATGGACCAATACATTTCCTGGTTCAATTACAATTTGCATTTAAATTGCTCTTTTCAGCCTGCTGTTCACATTTTGACATCATGAGACCAGGACGACATCTGATAGTTGATGTGGTGTATCACGCTATTGCAAGGCTTCAAAAAATATCTTTTCAGAGGACGGTGCACACTCATCTTTGAGTATCACTGAGTGTCATCGGCAGGTTGGAACATGGATACAAAGTGATTGAAAGAGTCGTAGAAAGGCATAGAAGTGAATGTCTTTGAAGAAGTACTGATCGAATGGATCAGAAAAATTGCGACCTTTTGTGATTTTTGCATTTCACCTCCTTGTGAGAAACACTGAACAGTTAAGCATTCATAAATTTAGAGAAGGTGAAATGGTGTTGATCTGTAAAGCTTATATTGCATTTAGGTTCATCCTGAAATTTCACCCAAAAGCTGAATAGCCCTCACTTTTTGTTAGTAGTGTATATATAGTGGCACTATTCAGATACCATTCAAATATACCTTTGAGGGCCTTTGAGATGAAATATCAAAGCTGTAAATGCTGCAAACCTGTTTAGCATTTTATTTGGCAAAATAACATTAGTGCAAATGCCCTCATCATTCACTTCACACAGCTATTACCCAATATGTGGCGTTATGAGAAAGAAAATCATCATGAAAAAAACTTGTCCCATTGGTTCTTTAATAGATTGCTCGAGGAGGCTGCAGAAGGAGTGCATGCATTGTCAGACAAACTTCCACCTCCAGGTAGAGTTAACCAGTCCATATTAAATAATTGATTAGGTTTTTTTATGTGCTTTTATAGGTCCTTTTATACTGTCAAATATGTAAATCCATCTATTTTTTTCTGCCCAATCCCTGCCCTTAGGTAAAGCATTGTTAGATGTGCTGATGTTTGGCTGTGTTGAGGAGTGTCCTGCATTAAAAATCCTCCTACCACTGCTGGGAGCCCTTCGACACATGTGCTCCTGGCACTCTGCCAAGATCACCGTCATCACTCAGCATACGACAGGGTATGAATATGTGTTTCCATCTTTGTACCGCTAGGGGGCATTAGAGGCGTACTCAGTTGCACATGTTACATTATCTGCTTTTGAACTTGAATCTGTGATTATATGGACTAAAATCTTGGATTTTACTGCATAAAGTGAATGTTAATCTCACGATATTTGTCTCAGGTGGCAAAAAACTGCGTCATACCTGAGTGCTGGTCTATTGGAGTGTACTGAGTTAACCAGCTGTATCAATGCCAGTGAACTTTGGAGAGGGGGCTTGGCGGTCAGAGAGAAGAAGGTAATGCTGGAAGTGTGTGTGTGTTATGGTTATGTATTTTTTAAAATTACATGCAGTTTGCAATTCTTTTGGCCCTTATGTATATTTTTTTTACCCTCACCATTATTTGGCGTCGGAGTATTCATGGATGAAAATATGTTTGCCAAACTGGAAATATATATTTTTTCCTGGACATTATGAGAGTATTGCTCTTCAGTAATCACACAGACAGTGCTGCATAGCAAATAACGTAAGATGTGACAAATCATCCTGTTGTTATCAGGTGTGTTTTCACGCAGTGTGCGATCACGTATGAATAATCACTGGAGGGCATGAGAATTGCATCTTTTTAAACTCACTGGCCCGACTCGTAAGTACTTTGTTGTCTTACTGCTATGAACACTGAACAGCACAGCTCAACAAGCAGACATAAGTTTAATGGCATCTTGGGTGATTTAGTCAAGTGAAAAGCTCACAAAAAAACCCCAACCAAACAAACAAACAAAAAACAATAGAGTATAATAATGACATACCTTGAAAATAATTAATTTATCCTGGAGTAATGCGGAAGGGGCGGCATGTTGTTGACTGGTTAGCACGTCCGTCTCGCAGTGTAGAGGTGTAGGGTTTGATTCCGGCTCCGGTCTTTCTGTGTGGAGTTTGCAAAAATCGGATTATTGATGGCCTTCTGTTATATTTCATCCTCATAACATTTTTAATTTTACACCTTAAATCACATATGCACATAGCAAGCACACAGCTTCTCGTTGACCTTTTCCAATAAACTGCTGCTAGGAGATGTGAGCAGGCTTAGGCTGGCAGTTGGAGAAAGCTGCTCAGCGGGAGAGCACAGGATGAAGGAATTCCCGGAGGAGCGAAAACCAGCAAACAGATCCTCGTACTGCGTTGTGTGTGTATTTGCACTATAGGCGTGTGTGCGTGCGTGTTTGTGTGTGTGTGAGTGTGCGTGTGTGTGCGTGTTGTACTTTTCCAGCACCAAAATGTTTAGCATTTCATTTGGAAGCTAGCAGCAACTAATGGTTCAGTCAGTTGATTGATTTGCATTGAAAGATATTCATTGATAATCTAAAGTGAGAAATTAGTTGAGACTTTTCCACAATTCCACAATATTTCAAGAAAAGAATATTTTGTTTTATTTTCAGTTCTTGTTAGCAGCTAAACTGGTTAATATCACAATAAATGTTAAATCTCTTGAAAGGTGTTTCCTTTGTGTACCATTTTTTGTCTATTAGATGTTTGTGTCGTAATGCTGTTGTAACTACCATGTGTAGTTTAATAATGTACGTCACAAGATATTTGATGAAACAAGTAATTTTGATCATGTATATCCCATTTTTCATTACCATCATTTTTCATGTGTCCCTGAATATAGTTGTTAACAGTACAGCCAGCTTGCTAACTGAAGCATGTTGCTCGTGAAGGTCCACCAATTGCTTATCGAAGACTAACATGAGCCAAGATCTTCCACCATGTCTGCAAGCTCCAATATTGTGCTGTTAAACATGTACTGTACATTGTCTGTCTGCAGTTATTTTATTTTTTTTTATGAAATTGTGGGAGCTTGACCAGTATGCATTTCTAACAGCATAACATCTACCTCAGGGGTCTACAACCTTGTTGAAACTGAGAGCTACTTCTTGAGTACTGATGAATGCATAGTGCTACCAGTTTTGAGACACACTTTATAAGTACCTTTAAGATTTTATCATTAATAAATGATGGAAATGATCTATGTAATGAGGTTAATCATGTTAATGCATTTTTTTTTACAATAATTGTCAACATTGATCTATCTAGATAGTCAACAGATACAGTTCATATCAATATGCAACACTAATAACTCTCTTTTCGTGACTAGCTCAAGTCTGATGCCGTGTGCGGCATAAATCTGCACGGAAGTGTGTTAGACCGGGAGTTGGTAATTGCACGACGCGCGCTAGTTGATGTATTAGGGGGAAAAAGGGGGAGGGGCAAGGTTGTTGCCGTGAACGCAACTGACACCATTCACCACCACTCAATTAAATTTAAATGTGGTGCACCCACATCACACACGGAGACATCTCTGTTCAGAAAAGGACACAGCAATCCCTTGCGTGACCAGAATATTGTCGCTGTGCTTAGTCGGTGTGGCAACAGACAACGTAAGAGGTTACCCTCATTAAATTAACCGCTACTGACTTAAAAAGTACTGTATATGTCCACGGATCTCATGGAGCCATCACCACACTCAAGTCATGAGCATCACATTGTTCACTTTTCACCTGTGTAACCCTTGTGCTGCAATTTCTACGATGTTTGTAACACATGGGTTACCCCATATGTTACAATTTCTACAATTTTTGTAGATTTTTGCGTATTGTCATCTTTAAATCAAAGACACAGCATAAAAAGTGTGTGATATGAAATATTCCAATTCATGTTTTATTTATATAGATTTATATTTATGTTTTGGTCATAGCACAATACCGCTTTTATTGTCCATAGAGGGCAAAAATACAAAGAAAAAAATAAGAACTATATGTGTATGTATAGCACTGATGCCACTGAACATGTCGAGTGGTTGAAAGTGAAATAAATATTCAGGAATAATACTTTTACAATTTTTGTAAAATTGTATGTTGCGTTATATAAACTTATTTAGATCGACTGCAGCACATAGGTTAAGCATAACGCTGATGCCAGGCCAAAACCTCCTATGTCCTGAATTGGTAAATTTAATATTTTTTCACAAATTTATTCAATTAGTCAATCCCTATGCCTGGGCGTTATATTTTTAATAATTATTGACCAATCTAAAATGTTTAAATGGGTTGCTCTCTTTGACAAAGCAATGTTAATCGTTGAAGAAACGTCACGTTAATCATTGAAGAAACGGATGATTTTGGAGGTACCCTTATTCTGTCCAACACCAGCGATATCCAGAATTTTTTTTTGTTTCATATCAAATTTTTTGTCTTTCATTTGTTTTCCATTCCCATGACAGCCATTTATATGGCCTGAATCTGACGCTACAGTTTGCTTCTCAGAAGAACCATGCAAAATTGCCTCCATTCCATCAAGACAGTTTGACTTTTATATTGTCCATACCTAGTTCAGCCTGAGAAACTCTGTTTGAATTGATCACCTGCTGCCGCTGTAACTACATCTGGCATTTTCTGATATTTTATTGTTTGTTTCATTCAGCATGTGTCCGAGCTTCGTTTCGATGGCTTTTCTCTGCGCACTCCTGATTATAAATCCGGTCACATGGAAGAGCCACACTTTACTGCTGACCCCAAACTAGAGACTGAGGTAATTTCTTTCAACATAACTTTCTTTTCAAGCTTCATTCACTCTTGTTGTGGAACTTGATTGCACAGGAAACTTTCAAGTCAAAAGCACCTCCAAAAAATGTCAACTAAAATTCTGAAAATATGCCTCAAAACCTGTGTTTTGGAGAAATTTGGAGTTCTCATCATCACTGTACATGATTTCATGCACATTTTTCCGGACAAGACAGTGAGTGTCTAAATGTTTAATTGTCAATGTGTAAATAATATAAGACATAGACCCAGCATTGTAACTTATTGTTTATCTATTAAATACCAGTTGTATTCACAAGAAAATCCAAACATAAATAGTGCGTAGAGGAGCAAAACAGCAAATGATGAAAGTGAATATAAACATAAACCTTCTGTCAGACATCTTCAAAGGGCCAGTGGTTTTACCTAGCATGATAGTTTGAGTCATTATTTCCAATGGAAAATTATTTTGTTTGTCTTAAAACAAAACCATTTTACCTTCAAGAGCGGTTAAAATAATTTCCCATTCCCTTCTTTCATGAGTTGCTAGTGTTGTGGAAACCTGTTAAGCAGATTGTTAAAACAGATGACATCACTGCCGCTTTGTGCCTTCTAAGTATTAAAGCCCACGGCCCACTGTTCAAGCAAGTAATGATAGTGCTGTGTGAATTTGTGGCGCTGCTCCCCGGTGTTTGTTTAAAAGGTGTGTAGTGCACAGTGTGAAAGCTGTGAATTGATTTAGAGAGAACACTCGATGTGAGACAAGGTCTTTAATAACATTTGGTAGAGAGCTGCATTATAATGAGCTTTTTGATGTAGATTAATAGCCATAACAATAAAAACCAAGAGGTCTGCACTGTGCATACAAAGTTATGGTTAGTATGGGGTCCATCACACACACAAAAGTGTGCGCGAGTGGGTGTGTGTGCATTAGAGTGATAGTGAGAGAAGGATCAAATGAAAGCTCAGAGAGGCAGATGGTCGGGATCGTCTTGGCACACAATAAAAAAAAAAAAAAATAATACTGAAGGACAGCAAAACTGTCCCAGTGCTGTTGTACAAACTATATGCTTGCAATGACTCCATCGTAATCGTGACTCTTCACTCCCCCAATGTGTTTGACCACAGGAGACATGGTGGTCACACTCCGATGAGCTATGGAAAAGCCAGACAAGTTTATCCAGTGAGACATTTATTAGAAATATGAATATTTTCTAACCCTTCTTTTGCTGTCCACATGCAAACGCTTTAATGATAACAATTTGAGCAGCAGAAATGAGGGATCACATCACGGTATTATACTCACCATCAACCAATAAATTATCATCATGAGGCAGAATCTTACTGGTGCTGCATTTATCCATAGCAGCAATTTCAATGGTACTATATGGTGTGTAAAGTGAAAATGTTTAGTCAAAATGTATGACAGTTACAAATGAGTTGAATATAATGGTAAAGGTTCAAAGGGAAGAAACATGCATGTTTGCCACAGCTTAGTGGGCAAATATGAATAAATATATTCGTTTTTTTTTTTGTTGTTTTTTTTTTTTAATTGAGAAGGCAGCCGTCACAAATATATTTTGCTCTTAAGATTTTCAGTGGAACGTTTAAATAATTGGTTTGGCACATCAGTGTGAAGCCAAATTGCAAACTTGACCTTTGGCAGCAGTCTGAGTGACTTTTTAGAAAGAACACTCACGACATTACGTGACTGAAAATAAACACTGCTTGGTGATGTGGGCTTGAATTCTTCTCCGATATTTGCATTGGAGGTGTTTATGACTGAATTGTCTTTATCGCTTCATTCAGTTTGATCTGATTGAAATGAAGACCCTTGTTTTACAGGAAATAAAAATCAGGAACAGTGATTAGCTTAAATGCACCCCACTTAAAACCCCCAAGAAATAAAATTACTGTATGTTTTGATTAGGTTGTAATTATAATCATCTACCATCAGAATCAGGATGTGAGTCATTTATTATACTGGTCCACAAATGTAAAGAAGGATTTTGTATGGTTCATTTGTAACAGCTGAAAGTGGTATTTACTTTAACATTTAAGACTTATGGGGTAATTGGAGCGGCCCAGTGGTCGACTGGTTAGTGCGTCGGCCTCACAGTGCAGAGGTGCAGGGTTCAGTTGGGGCTCCGGCTTTCCTGTGTGGAGTTTGCATGCTCTCCTCGTGCCTGTGTGGGTTTTCTCTGGGTACTCCAATTTCCTCCCACATTCCAAAAAACATGCGTGGCAGGTTAATGGAACACTCTAAATTGTCCCTAGGTGTGAGTGTGAGCGCGGATGGTTGTTCGTCTATGTGTGCCCTGCGATTGGCTGGCAACTGGTTCAGGGTGTCCCCTGCCTGCTTCCTGACGACAGCTGGGATATGCTCGCTCCAACATGCCCCGCGACCCTTGTGAGGACAAGCGGATCAGAAAATGGATGGATGGGATAATTGGATTGACCATCTAGTTGTGCAATTGACATGACGATCATCATTGGAAAAAAATCTAAATGGCTGACACAGTCGTGTTAATATAATCAGCTGTCTGGACAAATAATTATTTAATATTCCTTGTTTACAAGTGTCTTTGAGACATGTTGTCATTCCTGTTCTTCTTCACGTTTGCAGGTCTTCCAGTACTATGCCCCGGTTTTAGACTTGCTTCATCTGGTTACCCTGTCAGACCTGCCAAGCTTTCTGATGTCCAGCACACACTTTGAACTGTATCCTCACTTCTGAAGTCTGTGTTTCCATGCAATGAGTCAGACTCAGAGTCCCCCATTAGTGTTCATAATTGTGCTGTACCAATTTCAATTTCAAGGACCTGTAATAAGTTACACTTAGTTTTAGATGCGAAGCGTAGAGATATGTATGTATGCAAATTGAGGAAGCCTTTAAACGTAGGAAAACATTGAAGAACCTGCAAACCAGCACCTGCAGGCTAAAAAAATGCTTTGATTAGACTTGGAATGATTAAACTTAGCAAAACACTGCCATGCTAACACCACCCGGCTCATCGTCATCATAAATATCAAACATCAAACTTTTAAGATTGAGTTTGCTTTGGAATTGACCAAATATTATCCCATTTATCAGTTATATTTCCAAGATACATTTTGGGCATGAGGCATAAAATATAGAATCACTTGTTTTGAAGCCTGTATTTTTTAAATATATAATTTCAACTTCTTCTGCAGCACCCTCTTACTTGTCTTGCTCTATTTTATGCACCTTAACAAGAAAAACAACTCAAGAGTGGTGTCTGGTAAGTCAGTGAAATCTAAACTTCTTTTGGAACAGCTCAAGTCACTGCGTGGAAAGGTATTAGTCTGAGTACTTGACTTTTTTTCCTCTAACATAACTTTTAACCTGCCATACTCAAATGCATTTTGTTCACTGAGCGGTTGTCTGCTAGGGGCAATCAAATATATATTTATGTGCTCAGGTAGGAGCTTTGTTCAGCCTTTCCTGCATCGTCACCTCCATGGCCCAGCCGTCAGCAGCCCAAATCAGCTCCCAGCGCTGGAGAGAATCTCTAGTCAGGAGACCCAAGTCCTTGCTCAGTCAGTTCTTTCATTACCTCATTAAATGACGCATATCTTGCGTATCGGAAATAAACTGGTAACATTGTTACAGATGACAAAGCTTTCTTTGCATGAGGCAGACTCGCAAGTCAAAAACACTGTTGGAAAAATACGAAAGCTATATTAAAGATATAACTGATACAATTTGATTGTATGCCTGTGGAAATTGCACTGCGGAAAAATAATGATAGAAAAAAATATGATTGAAATATGATCTCAATGTAGTGGGTTTTAGGGATGTGCTGATCACACTTTTTTGGCACCCGAGCCTTTGCTTCTAAGTATCTGCTGATACCGAGGCACCTTTAAAAAAAAAATTAAAAAGTGTGCATACAAATTATGTCAAATTAATGTAGAAATGTACATACAGACATGTATAAATGGTACATAAATGTATATACACTTGTATATGTTAAATGTTAATACAAACAAAGTATAGACACATTTATATTATATGGGCCAATCCACTGATTTAATGCAGGTTGCTTTTTGTAACTCTCAAAATAAACATAACATGTTAATTTTTTTATTTTATTTTATTTTTTTTTAGCCCTAAATTTGATTATACACCTCGGGGGTGGGGTTGGGTGTGCTACGAAAACTCGTATATTAGTGCCAAACAGATCGAAGGCACATTAAATGAAGTGAACAGGCACGTATGGCATTATGCACCAGGCCAAATCAGCGCCAGCTAATGCTAACCTTAGCGCACGTGACATTCCTAGTGGGTTTCATATTGTAGTGCAGTAGCAAGTCTTACTATAATAGCTTCAACCAGAAGAATATATCTGTTTTGACTGATACTAATATTTCATCTTGCAGTACCTGATGTCGAGATCAAGGGAGAGAGTGCTCACTACTTCTTGTTGGTCCAGGGTTCAGACAATACTGAGGATGGAGTTTGCACAGTCAGGGTGTTGTACTCTGACTGTCAAATTAATGGTGTGCCAGCCATGGCATCGTTCTTGGGACAGAAGCTGCTGTCATCATCAGGTACAGTGTATTATAATGCTGGATGTATGCATATTTCTGTGAGGTCCTACACACCAACATGTTCCTAATTGATTTCTTTTTCCTTTGATTTATTATTGCGTAAGCATGTTGAAGCCATGAAGAGTGATCACAAGAAAAGAGTTATTTACATCAATATTTGGGACGTATAGAGTGTCAGTTCCATTCACCTATGCACAGTGAAAGGACAAGATGGCAGGGTTGTGTGCAAACATAAATCATTAGTTGAGAGAAAAGAAAATGTATTAAGTGGAAGAAAAATAAATAATGCATCAGACTCCAAGCAAAAAAATACATATATAAATCAATAATTGAGTAATTGAAAAAGGAGGAGTTATTGCTGTGGGAAGTGAAGGTTTCAACTTGATGTTTGTATTTGTAATCCACAAGTGGAGCTCCAAATAAAAATGTATTGGACGGAATCACACATTCAGAAGTTGTAAAATATTTACGCTCACCTTTAAAGAAAAAAAAAGATATAAATGATTATTTTTGTCATGCATGCACTAGGACTGAACAATTGACATGGCATTGTAGTAGAATGCAATTTTCAAATCACCGATAAAAAATGCTATGGTATATTTTGGTCGTTCGGTAGCCACTGATTTGTTTGCATTATTCTTGTTATCAGATTTATGATTTGCTGTCCTTTACTGATGTTTACGCCACACTTGTTTGTTAGTGTTTTGTGAAGTTATAGTGAATGCTGCAAAGACTGCAAACGTCCCCATAAATCTGATATTGTTTAATGCAATGCACAATACAGATCAATTTTTTACTTGTTTATTAAAAAAAATACATAGCAAGCAGACCTTGAAAAAAATAGATTTTTTAATTGAAAGGAAAACAGAAAAAAGCCACCATTAGACTTCTTTTCAAAATCGTTCATCCCCAGCAAGCCCTAATGTGTGCATTGGTCCGTTCTCGGCAAGCATCACCCTATTGTTTTAAAGGATGTCCTTGTCTGCTCTTCGACTGCAAATGATATTCAAGACAGTTCCTACCATTGTTAACATTTTATGCAACCTTCAGAAGACATCTTTAAAATACTATCAAATATGCTCCAACTGCGCTGCCATGAGTCAGCAGAGTTTTCACAATCACTAATCTTAATGCTGACACGATAGTTGTTTTTTTCCCCCCCCAACACTCAAGTGTGGAAAACCATGTCTTGCAATTTTTGGATGTGTCTTCTACTGCCATTTGTGTTTATTTTTGTCCGCTGAAATGTTGGCGTTTACTGTGCTTGATATTGCTTTGAGGTGTATCTTAAGGCAGTGTCGCATATCCCGTGAGACCTTACCCCAGTTGAGAATGAAGCTTTGCACGGATCATTCTCAGCTGGGCTGGTAATGCACATTCATCTGGCCTTTTTCATTCTCCGCTTTTTCTCCATCCAGGAGGTACAAGAAGCGACATCCTATCTCTGCCTTGTCTCCAAGGAGACGGTCTGCTGAGGAGAGAGCGGAAGGTGGCCCAGGTCCAGGCACTGGTAATTAAAGAATACTTCAGTAAGTACTTGTTCGATAAAGCTGATGACATAAAAAAAATAATGTGACCAGATTCAGAGGGGTACGGAATGTGGTACATCCTGAGCATATTATATTGTTGAAAGTGACCACACAACAGTGTATATTGTGGCATGCAAAAAATGACTGAATTCATTTTGTTCATAATAATAATAATAATAATAATAATAATATAACCAGGAAGTATCAAGTAAAGAATGTGAAAATGTTATATTGTGATCATCATGAGTAATCATTACAATTCTCAGTACTACTACACTAATAATAAAAGGATCAACCGACCCCAAGAAATGCACTAACTTGATGAGACAACAGTGATGTATTTCATAGTGGTGTGTCTCAATCAGAATCTAATTAATATGGGGCTTCTTTTTATCAAAATAAAAACACTTGGCACACTAAACAATGTTTTGGCTTTTAATCAATGAATAAATAAACAACAAAATTCATTGATAAATATTTGTTTTTCATTAGGCTCCTACTCACACAAACAGATTACTGTGGTGCCAATTTTCAGTGAAAAAATAATGAACCGGTTGCCCTTGAGGCTCCAAAACCAACCTTTGTCTTTTACATACTCTGAAGCAGTGTTCGCTGAAACCTTTTACATTCTTCTTCTTCTTCTTCTCCTTTCGGCACGTCCCTATTCAGGGGTCGCCACAGCGAGTCAGTAATTTCCATCCGCCCCTGTAAACCGTCCTACCAACTCGCATGGTCGTCTTGGCAAAAGTTTTACGCCGGATGCCATTCCTGACGCAACCCTCCCCATTTCTCCGGGCTTGGGACCGGCACTGGGGAACAGTGCACCCCCAGGGGAGGGCACTGCCCCCCAGCGGCTGGGTTGCTGAAACCTTTTACATTAAGTATAAAAAAAATAGCATGATTTGCCATGAATTAATATTCCACCTTATTTAATATGCTTCTCCCAAAAATCACCCTTAAAAAGCAAAAATCTATATTTGTGGATAAATCGCCCCCCCTATTTGCTGGTATCCTTTCTCATCAGAGTGAATAATATGAATGAATAAAGAAAAGACAAAGACAGGACCTGATTATGACTTCATGGCGATGCCGAGCATTGGAGCCGGCTAAGCATTCGAGCTCACACGTCAAAGAAGTCCTTTACTTCTACACTATGAAACCATCTGGAGGTGTTTAATTGGGTTCGTTTGCACATCTTTCTATCCACCCATTTTCTGATCCGCTTATTGTCACAAGGGTCGCGGGGTGTGCTGGAGCTGATCCCAGCTGTCTTCGGACAGTAGGCGGGGGACACCCTGAACCGGTGGCCAGCCAAGCGCAGGACACGCGTAGAAGAACAACCATCTGCGCTCACACTCTTACCTAAGGGCAATTTAGAGTGTTCCATCAACCTGTCGGGCATGTTTTTGGAATCTGGTAGAAAACTGGAAAACCCACGCAGGCTCAGGTAGAACAGGCAAACTCCACACAGGAAGGCTGTAGTTGGAATTGAACCCTGTACCTCCGCTTTGTGAGACCAACACACTAACCTGTCGACCACCGGGCCACCTTCGTTTGCACAATATATAGTCTTATTACAAGAGCAGAACCGAGGCAGTCTTTCAAACAATGTTAAGACCCGTTTTTGTTTGGCGTGCGTACACCACACGCACACACATTCATGTTTCATACATGGCAATTTTCCGCGGATCCGCGGAAATCCGCCGTTTTATTTCTTAAATTGATCATTTTTGTGAATCGTCTAAATCCGTTGAGAAAATTTTAGGGGCGGTCAGGTACCTTATCGTCGAGTTTTCACGAGCTCTCCCGAACAGTCTCTCCGTGTTCCGTTTGTAAACAGCCCTGCGATTGGACGTGTATGAAAGCTTCAACTAATCAGATCACTGAAGGCATTATTTGTTGCGGAAGTCTTAGCTCGATTATAAACGGCCCAGCGATTGGTTAACTACAAGCGATTGGACCAATCAAATTGCATGTAACATATTGTTTTACCTGATTCATGGCGGCCTGTTCGTCTCGCAAATTCATTGTTCTGGGATCGTTTTGAGCGGAATTATGAAATTTTTGACGAAAGATCAGGAGTCTTTAATCCTAGAAATTGACTCAAATGTCAAGAATAAATTCCGATTGGACTGGCTTGACAGAAAAATCACTGTAAAGGTTAAAATTGGTTCCAAGTTCGACGAAGTTACAGAAGCTCTTGGACAATTTTTGAAGAAACCAGACGTAGCAGGCAAAGCTTATTGTGTGTATTGTAGTGACTTAATTAACTATGGCTCCCGTGGATGCGTGGCACTGACAGATCATGCAACAAAAGTGAAAAAACATGCCGACAAAATCGCCATTCGACGGAGCAATTATTCTTTGGGATCGGCATTTTTCAAACAAACTTCGTCAGCGGATACAACTAAAGACGTTACGCGCTGGGGTACTTTGGCTGAACCAAGCAACGAAATCTGCTCCACTGACGCCCCTCGCCGATAGACAGGTACACTCCGAGGTTTCTGTTCAATTTTCAAACTGTGTAAATTTAATACACTTCATCTTCAGCATGTTTAGTGCCACTTTTGTAAGTAACCACGCCCCCGTCCAGGCCACGCCCCTTCCGCTTTTTTCATCACTCGCCATTGCCATGTATGATGTTTGCACTTCTTGGGTTCAATTGGCTTCTTCTTTGTATAAAAAAAACACTTGTGTTCAAAATGTCTTCTTCTGTGCTTATAATTGTGGTATAAATCGAAGTACAGTATTTATACTATGGCCTCTACGCAGAATGTCGGGGTTGGGATTTTCTTCTTGATTTTTTTTCAATCGAGTATTTTATCAAATGCATTTTGAGTTAAACGTGTTGCGCTGTACTAAAAGTTAATTAAAACTGGACTGTACTGAAAAACTTCTCACTCACTCACACAACACTCGCTCGCTTCCTCCTTTCTGCCTGATCGCTGTTGAAGGGGCTGCAGACAAGAAAGCACCTTCTAAGGAGTTGACATTATTGAAGAATTTAAACGGGAATATTAATAATTTTTTTTCTCGCTTCATTGGTCTACTATAAACTCTTTCATTTCCACTTGCACAATAGACATGTTTTGATTATAGTAAAAGTTGAAGCCCAAAATCTGTGAGTCATCCCTTCTGCCGTATCAGCCATTTTGGGGATTATTTTCAAGTGATGTGGTATGACCAAATGTTACGCTACTCACTCTGAAGTAAAAACAGAGAGCAGAAGAAAAACAAATACAATTTATTCCAAACTTTGCAGCTTTTTTTCTTGGTCGATACCTCACCAGGCTTGTTTTTAGCGTGCGTGCGTGTGTGCGCGCGCGCATGCGCGCGCGCACGTGTGTGTGCGTGTGTGTTCAATCCCACAGGAAGACATCAAACCGATGTCTGCAAATGAAAAACAAATACTAAAATTCATAGAATGATACTCATTGGCAGAGGAGAACAGATCTGAGTTAAGAGCTATGTCAAAATATTGTCTTTTCATGTGTGTTGCATTGATTGATTTGCTTGTTATTGGGTTTGCAATTTGCAGTAGAAAAATGGTCATATTGAGATTATTTTCTCATAGTTTGCCACACAGAGATGGCTAAACAATTTACCTGAGATGTCAATTTGCAACAAACTAATGTCGGTATAAATTATGCTGTTTGAGGTTCAGTCTCAATAAACAAAGGCATTGTTTTTTGTTTGTTTTTCCAGTAGCTACAGTGAAGGAGATCTAACACCATCCTATCAGTGGCCTCGCTCAGCTTCCTCGTTATTGCTTTAGGCACTTGCTGGTGCATAGGATGATTCGCAATATCATTAATTTACAGACACACAGCAGACAGTGCTAGTGAAGCTATAGCAGAGTACAGTGAGATAAAAGAAAATGAAGTTCTTCAACCTTGAGGAAACAAATTCAGACTGCGCTTTGACAAGACTGCAAGGAGAGCTGACATACCACAGGGCTCATTGAAAATTGCAGTATAAACAATTATTTCACATTAAAACGAGGATGCCGCCTGTCTAGTTACAAAAGTTAAGCAGAAAAATTGAAATAGAACAGCAAGTTTAGTTACTGTCTGATGGTTAAGCAAAAAAACAAAAAAGGGGAAATTGCAGTATTTCTGAATTTATTTTCTGTATTTTATGACTCTTGGTTGAGGTGTGGAAGTCATTACTTTCATGTGCTAATATGATTTCATTTGCCATATGTGACTACCCTGAACAAACATTTCATCAAGTGGTTATACAAAATAAGATCATCTACTACTACTCCACAAAAATGAAAAAATATAATTGCATTTTGATGCTTTTTTTTTGTAAATTCAACATACCTTTTTTTTCTGTGTACTAATGAGAACTTGTCTACCAAAGTGTCACTCGGCCATTCTTGTTTGTGTTTCCAGGACAGAACAAAAAATCCTCTTCGGGACCACACAGTGACTTGAAGGCTATTCTGAGCATGGCTAGGGAGCAATACTTGAGGATGACTGACTCCATGCTTCCCTGCGCTTCTTCCCTGACTGACAGCATGGCCACTAAGCACCCAGGTACGATTAGAGTGATACAGGTTGATGCGTGCACACAGTAGTCCTAAACTGTTTGGCCGGATTTATGCAATACCCATTTAGAATGAAGAGTACGCTCATTGTGCTTGTAAATCTCTAACTAAAATGTTATGATTGAACTGCTTGCTGTATTTGACCTTTTAGAAGTCTTTCATGATTTCATGATTAAATCAATTCAAAACTAATCAGCAATATGAGCAGTGCATCGACAATACATATAACAGAAACAGATAAAGATTTCGCTGTAACTCTTTCTGACTTGCCGATGGATTCTTACACAGTTCTGTATCTGTTCGCTCAAGTCAGCAATGCATTTATTACGAATAATGCTGTGCACTTGGAGCTGGAAATGAAAACAAGAAAGACGATTCTTCCTTTAAATATGCATCTCAAGCACTTCACATATCCGATAAGTATTTATCTATCTATCTATCTATCTATCTATCTATTGCTGCTTGCTAGTTAGCAAAAATAATTTCAAAACTACTCAGTTGTCATCCATGTAAAATTGCACAGGGGTGGGGCATTTTCAAAGCAGGAGCCATTGCGTTTTGGTGTAGATCTGGTTGGTGGGAATTTTTTATTTATTTTTTTTTCATTTGCACCTTGAAATAGCCTATGCAATGACTGAATGGCATTTTTACACGAGTTCATGGTTTAATTAGCTTTGTAGGAATTGTCATAATCACTTAGAACCACAGGTCATCTTTGGGCATGAATCAGCCATTACTTGAAACCGCTCGGTCAGGGGTATGTGAGTTTCATTTACAAAATCAATGAGCCGCTACAGAATATGCAATTTTAATTCAGTTTTTAACAAAAACCTTTTTGAATTCTGAAGAAAAGACACTTTGTACTTTCAAATAAAGTAGTCAATGTCTATTGGAGTTGTTCTCATATTCATCAAACTGAAACGATCCAGCTGCAGCGAACCAAAAATGCCATCTGCGTCCATGTTCCGTCATCATTTCATTGTGTATGCTCTGTGGCATGCGAAGGTGTGTTGATGCCCAATGCCAACATGCAGTTGCAGGCAGGCAGACTTACCCACGGGAAACCAATTGTCAACAGGGTGGATGAATGCCCACCTGCCTTGTTTGAATGCCCCCAAGCGATGTTTGAAAATACAGTTCCTGCAGGCTGTAGTATTATTAAACATTCTATTTTTTTTTAGCAATTTTTCTTCGATTTATCCACGGCTTACCTACCGGCAGGGGAATAGCTCAATGAATCACCAGGCACCAGTTGTCGCACATTGGCGGCTGTGACGCATAATTTTGAGCGACAAAAAAAAATAATAATAAATACATTAAAAAAAAAGCTTTGTTTTGCATATTGGTGAAATTAATTATTTTATTTGAAAAATGCACAAATTAAAATAAAAACTAGTTGAAATGAATTACTCAATATTTATTATTTTCCAAAGTCACAGATGGATGAAAGAGTTGCATGCAGCTTTTGAGCCGCAATTTGCTGACCCCACCGCTAGATCTTTTTTGACCTTTTCTGCGCTCTGGGTCACCCAAACAGTCTGATCGCCCAAACACAAAAAATGCAGTGGTCATACATCAATGTATTACTCACATTTCGGGCAGTGAGATTTCAGTTCCATCTGCCATGGGTTAAGCATTTTGAACTGGCTCGAGCTAAAAGTTTGGATAACAGCTGCAATCCATCATACTGTGCAGCTTACCGTGTAGGGTATGCACATGGAGGGAGCCTTGTAGGTTTGTTTATGATTGCACCACAGGTCTTTTGTTGCCCTTACAAAATGCTTTCCTTGGGTAGTAAATTAATTGAGATGTACAGCTCTCACATGTGTTTTTCCAATCTTCATCTTGTTCTTCATCTCATCTAAAGGTCAAGGTATGGCTCAACAACATAACAGCAACTTAAAATCTATTATAAAGCTGAAAGACAATGTGATTTGACATGTCAACTTGCTACACCAAGTCCAACTTCTTTCTTTTCTAATAGCATTAGAAACAATGTCCCACACTCAATCTGTTTGGCCTGAGAGGAGTGTACTCCACAACATTGAGAACCTACAGAAAAGACGACAGAGGGGAAGGTAAAGTTTACTCTGTGGCATTTAAATTATCTGTTCACAGCGTTGTGTATTATTCAACATACTGTATGAGCATTCAACATGAAGTATATCGCAATTATTAATATTCTGTATTGTCCATTAGACTTGGCTTGTTAGGTTCCGGCTCCAGTGACAACCTTCTGGGTCCAAAAGAATGTGTTAAGGGTTCCACTACCTTACTGGATGCCAAAGAACTTTTAAAACATTTCACACTTGATGGCAAGCCAACCAGTGAGCTACAACCTCTGGCCCTTATTAGAGGGTAAGATGAGTCGTTTGAATGAGCACTGTTTACACCTTTTTCTGAAAATTTCGAAGAGCATTTGAGTCGGAGACAAATTGAAAACATGATTGGGGGAAAGAAAAAGATGACCACAATTTTATTAACAGACAGAAAAAAAAAGGCTAACACAAAATGACTGTATTCTGCATTTCATTGCTAAGAAGAAGCTCGGTCAAGGTGAGAATTTTATTTTGATCATTAGTCTCCCTCAGTAAAACCTGTGTGACCTTTGTTGGAATACCATTTGGAGGGAAACATGATTAATTTTGGCTGACAGACCATCTCATTCTACTCTATTATCTGTGCTGTTTTGCTTCAGTCATAATGTGTTCCAGTTGTCACCGGACTTGTGTCCCTGGAGTGTCAGTAAGATGTCCTTTAAAAAGGCCACATCATCCCATTACCACGGCATAGAGTAAGTATCTCCCACCTCAAATTCCTTTGTGAGTTGGTGATTGGATTCTTTTCATTGCACATTTTAAATTTTATTTTATTTAACAGTCTGACGGCTTCCTATCTTTGGTTTTATATAGCTTCTGCCTGGATAACCAGCGCTCCTTGGACCGAGACCAGGCTTTTGTACGCCTCCAGTCCCGTCTCATTCGCTACGAGACGCAAACCACCTGCTCCAGGGAACCATGTGTCCTACCGTTTGCGACCAGCCCCGCCCCTTCTCCCGCAGTGATGTCAGAACCAGGAAGTGTTCCTGATGGGGAGACTCTGCAGAACGCTGACGTAGCCCGACTCAAACGCAGGTCCTGGGACACAGATGTTGGAGGCTATCCCCGCAAGAGGTAGTGGAGGCGTGGCTTAATGAGTCGGTGGAACCATTTCAGTCTTTAACCGTGAAACAATTGAAATGAATGATATAGGCAGGCCAAGTCAGAGAGCAGCGACTCCTTGTGTTCTCAAAGCAGTGGCGGTAATGGGACACACATTAACATCAACTCACAACGACAAACACCCAGATCCCAGTCGGTCTCCTCTTCCACACCCTCTTCCTCTTCTGCTCCAAGAACATCATCTGGTAAAGTCCAATACACCCAACCTTAACCGAACAACTTCATCTTTTTTACACATTTTCTTCCTGTTCACAATTTTGGAGAAACGTAGCAACGCAATGACCAATTGAGCATTGTCAAAGCTGAACTGAAGCAAAACATATATGTCAATACATTTTACAATCTCTTTCTTTGGGTTTATCAATACAGTACCATGGTACCATGACTTATCATTTCATTCGGCCAAAAATCTCCAAGCTCATAACTCAATTTTCTTGTGTATCCAGTCAATTTTCCCGATTAAAATTTGTTATTGTATAAAAACATAGTGAAGCATCAAAAATGCATTACTGGTATTAACATTACTGTATTGTATGTCCTGTAATAGTGTTACTGTATTTGTGTGTTGAATGTGGTGTGTTGTGATGGTGTGCCTTTTAAGGTACGTAGTGGCTTTGTGAGTGACGTCAGGGCCTGGAGTCAGCTAGAGTGCTTGTGAGCAGAGGTAGGCATCGTCAGTCCAGTGAGTCCATCAGTGAGTTGCCGTCAGTATTTCAGGCCCTTCCAGTCCGATGAGTCGGCAACGGCAGCTAAATGGCGTCGAACAAACTTATTGGTACTTATGTCACACGTAGGTGGCGCACACCTGACACACAGCCAAATACAGGAAAATCTCAAAACTAAAACTGTGTTGTACTGTAAATCTTGCAGTCCCACAGACCTCAACAACATGTCCTGTATTGGTGTTATTTGACCAGTCACCACGCTGTGCGTGTGTATGTCTCTTGTTTTTATTAATTTTTTTCTTTATTTGGCTGTGTGTCGGTTGGTGCGCCGCCGGTATGTGATATGGAAATGATGTTCTCACGTGGGTCCGCCTGAAACAGCTGACGGAATCAGTGACAGACTGACAGACCTTCCATCAGTCTGACGGAATGCCCACCTCTGCTTGCGAGTCTTCTCATTTTGTGTTTGTGTGTTTGACCGTTTGTCCCATTTAATGAGCATCCTTGCCCACATGCAATGGTGTTAGAGTAGCGATTTTTGTTTTTTCCTTTGACTTGAGCTGCGGCTCGTCGTTTGAAAAATTTGGAAGTTAGGGGACTCTTAAGTCAAGGTATTTTTTTTTTACACAGAATATCATTGTATCTCTCTCTGTCGACGCAGTTACATTGCTTTATGGTTAGCTTTGGTTTCTTCCCAGGTTTGTTGAATCATTCTTCAGCCGACAAGCATAAAACGCAGGAGCAAAAGACTGATCACAGGCTGACAGACAATAAAAATGCCAAGGAATCACGTTCCCAGAAACACAATAGGGTGAGTTTTTTGTGTGCTGACGAAAAAATAAATACAATTTACGATCATTACCCATTACATTATTATTTCACCTAACAGTGACTCTTTTCTTTTGAAACAGTTGCTTTTTATATCTGTATAAGAAAGAGAAACATTATCAACAGTTTTACAAATAGTTGAACAATTCGTGTGCAGGAAAATTCTTTCTAAGAAAAAAAATGAAAACATCTTACGCTCTGGAAGCCGACAACAAATTCAACCACAGTCCTTCCAACAAATGAGACTCGTATAATTGGTTTAGCAAATATACATGATGTATGTTTTGGATGTTATCGCTTGCTGTGCTTACCGCTTATTTACAACCTGCACATGCACACATATGGAAACGACGCATGACGACACACTCACTCTATTACCTGCGCACACATCGCGGGCTGAATCTCGACCTTGATGTGTTCTGATCTGTGAACATTATGCTAACGGGACGCGTGTGCGGTCAGCAATACTAATGTGCAGGCGTCTGCACGTGTACAAAAACAGTTGCCGCATTTCAGGAATAACGACAGCAGTTAATTTAGGACAGAGATTAAAAACAGTCTTTTTTGTGGACATGAAATGATCTCTGTGTAATTTAATACATTTATTCGGATCTGCTACTGTCGGCATCCGGCGTAAAACTTTTGCCAAGACGACCATGCGAGTTGGTAGGACGGTTTACAGGGGCGGATGGAAATTACTGACTCGCTGTGGCGACCCCTGAATAGGGACGTGCCGAAAGGAGAAGAAGAAGAAGAAGATTCGGATCTGCTACTGTCGAAAGAGTGAAGGTGGCTCCTTTTATTCCCGAGTGTGCGCTGTCAACTCTTTGACTAAAACTGTGTGCCTTTTACCTGAGAGCTCACACAATCGTTTTAGAGATAGTAAGGCCATCCTTCTTCAGTCATGACGTTTCGACATCCATTCTGGAAGAAGGAAGCCTTGCTAAAATTAGTTTCTGTGAAGCGGGATGACGTTTGGTGATAAGGGAATTAACACGAGTAGATTTAAGGTTTCAGTATTGTGTCCATGAGAACGTGGGTGTCCTCTGTTGCCCTCAGATGCTGCAGGAGGTGGTCGTTAAAACACTCAAACAGCACGGGATCAGTGCCGAGCATAAATGCTTTGAGGCTTGCAGCAAGAGACTGTTTGATATCTCCAAATTCTTTCTCAAGGTTGGTGCCCACACACTCTAAGCGCTGTCCACTCGTTCACTCCAAACTCTCTTTGTCATTTGGCTCCCTCCCGCCAGGATTGCAATGTCCACCATATGTTGTTTTTTGGTTACAAATTTGTGCGACAAATAAACCTCAATGGGAACGGTTTGACTGAACCTCCCTTGCTTTTCTTCCCAATATGTATTCTTTATTTATTTTGAGCTCCAATTCTAAATGGGACGCATAAAGCAAAGTGGACTTTCAATGTTTATGTACAAGTAGTTTGATCTCTGGGGTGCCTGGACACCTATTACGTGTGAAATTCAACAATTAAGTACCGGTAAATCATTGGGTATCTGTCTAGTTTTGAAAAATGTTTCTCTGAACAAGATGTTCTGTACCTCTGCCCCAACTGCAATTACAGACTAATTAACATAATAACCATCCCATACCAAGTTTTTCAGCCAGTGACATGACACCTTGGCTGGTCAAAGATTCAGAACGAAAGAACCACTTTGACATGTTGGCGGAAGCTCTATCTTTTCAATAACAGAGGCAAACCGAGCTGCAGTGTCAGCACAGATTAGTGTGCCAACAGTGCGAACATTAGTTTCTAACGTTATAATGTTCCTCTAATTTATCGACCTAGGCAAAAGTGAACGCTATTATGTATAAGTTATATTGATTTTAAAATAAGAGCTTTAAAAACATCTTTGTGTTCTTTTTCAAGTGTATTCGGTTTTGTACATTTTAGAAGACGCTCTTTTAAACTTTTGAGCATTGACGTCAAATCTTCACATAGCTCGACAAAAAGAAAAAGAGTGGAAATGTTTGTTCTCAGGACCTGAAGACATCTCGCGGTCTGCATGATGAGATGAAGAAGGCAGCTTGCAGCAATGCTAAACAGGTTACCATCAACGTGCATCAATGTTCCCTTCCACACGTTAACTCATTCAAATCCTCTTCAACTCATCTGTTGTGTTATCATAGGTCATTGACTGGGTGCTGGAGAAGACCTTGAAGAGCTGAAGATGATTTTAACAAACACATATTGAGTCCTACTTTCAAATTTCCATGTTTTACTTTGACATGTTTTTTTGTTATTATATATGTTATTTTATATTTTTTACTGAGTCAATTTTAATTGCTTTTAAAATAGGCCCCACTTTTTTTAACTATATATATATATATATATATATATATATATATACTGTTTTATTTTTTTTACCATTTGAAGGACAATAAAATTTTACATTTTCCTTTCCTCTTGTCTGCCTGTATGCGTCCATTTAATGGCATAGTTTAAAGTATAATGAAGACAGCTGGGATAGACTCCAACACGCCCGCGACCCACGGATTAGAAAATGGATGTAATTACTGGAACATCAAGTAGGGCACAGCACTGGATCATCCATCCATCAACGGTGCACTGTACACTGCTTGTTGTCATTCGGGTTGCTTGTAAGATGGTGCCGATCCCAACTGACTTTGGAGAGGAGGTGGGTTACACCCTAGACTGGTCGGCAGCAAGGCAAAAGACAATGATTGTGGACCATATCAAGATTAGATTATTCGTTGAAGTTATGAACCATATACTGTGATCCATTATTGTCATTGACCATTTGGTCACTGACGTTTTCACATTTCCCACTCTTCAAACTTGTTGCTTGGTTCAAATGTTGCCGATGCAAGGCTTGTGGGAAGGAGCTGCCTGATTTTTGTTCGTTAGTAGAATGGTATCTCCCTCCCCCTGCCCCTGGCACATTGTTGAACTCCTGCACAGCTCATCAAAAACTCAAGTCATGTCCATCTTTGGTGTCCACACAGATTCACGGCGTCCGTCTCTGCTTCAAAATTGCCATCAGTACTGTCTGATGTTTGACAGCTTGTCTTGCCTATGCATTTATGCACTTTGCCCATAATGCATTGCACGCACTTGCGTTTATTACTTATTCATCGTGGATCATGAAACGGTAAAGAACATGTCGACGCAAAAGCGAGATAGAGGCATTCAGGGGTGCTGCAGGGACTTGGCAGTGGTGTCCAGAACATTCCACACACACACACTGCACAATTTACATCTCTTTTATCATGCAGTTCCCAGTGAGTGGAAGTATAAAAACAGGAACCGTCACAGTGCTTCTGCACACAGAGAGGCCATGTTGAGGGCAACCAATGGAAACACACATGAACAAACGTTATGTTTAAAATGTGTGTGTGTGTGTGTGTGTGTGTGTGTGTGTGTGTGTGTGTGTTTTTCACTCAGACAGCAAGAGTCCTGCAACAACAAACATGAGCCTGTTGTTGAACTGAAGATGGCGTTATTGTTTGAAGCACGGTGTGCATGGAAGGGTCATCCATCATCATCTTTTCCATCAACAGATGGTAACAGGGACACACGGAGGGGATGATCATGTTCTTTCCACACCTTTTTACTTAAATGAGAGACTAATTGTGTCACTCAACAGCTGGAATATTACACAAGCAGCAAGATGTGCTCTCTACTCAACTACTGCTGTGTCTTAAATGCAGCTTTATTTTTTGGTTTCTTTGTTTATTTAAACCTTTTTTTTGCACATCATGGGCTTTTTTTTTTTTTACTGCCTTTTAATGTAACTGACTTGAATGATGTGCAGAGACACAGTCAGTTACCTGTAAATGAAACCTCATCTGTACTATTCCAGAAAGTGCAGCATAAATCAACAATTCACACAATTGCCACACTTACGAGTCTGAAAACTGAATTAACACTATACCTGTATGTCATACCGTATATGCATGCTAAAAAAAAACAAAAAAACAAAACCTAATCATGGCATTTGCCATCGCTTTGGATTCATTTAAAGAGCCTGGGAAAGATGGCTTTACATCAGTGGTGTCAAACTTATTTTTGTCGTGGGCCACTTTTGAGTCACGTCTTCCGTCAGAGGGCCGTTACGACAGTGAAACCACATTGCATTATCGCATTATTACTTTTATCGGTAACTAAATTATTGCAAAATCTCAACGTCATTTATCACACATGACAATTTGACAGGTTGGTACATTTTTTTATCAAGGACATTGCTGATTTTCTTTTGGTGGGGGGGTGTCACATAAAATGATGTGGCGGGCCACATTTGGCCCCCAGGCCTTGAGTTTGACGCTTGTGATTTACATGATGCCGTCTCAAATTAGTTAAAAAGTGTGACGCTAAGCTAAAAGCATTTCGGTAGCAATGACGTCCGCTAGCCAGAAGCAATGCTCAGTCCCATTTGCTTCAAACTGTTTCTCTTTTTTTTCTTTACTTGTCCATACACATGAAGGCAGAAGGGGGGGGGGGGACATTTAACAAAGTGGAAGATTTTAAAAGCAAACTCAGGGGACAAACACCTCGTTTGCAATTATATCTTGTTTGAGTAATCAATGTAAATCCTGCAAACATTTAAGTTCAGATTTCTTTGGGTCTGCCAGCCTCTCATCTTGCTCAATACCTTTCCAATTTCGAACGTTGTCCGTTGGGTCCCTCTCTCCCTCCTGCCAACTTCAGCCTATAAAGCCCTCGAATGCAAACACACAAACAAGCAAACATACTACAACCTATGTGGACCTGCCACAGGCGAGCAAGGAATCCAAATAGAGACTGAGCCAAGGGAAAAAAAAAAAAAATCATGCATACATGCAAGCACATAAACAACACCTGCACGTATTGTCCGCGGCAGATGGAAGTACATGGACACATAAAGTCACAATAATGAACTCAAACCCCTAACAAGAAACCGTGGGCTTTATGGGCTGACAATACCAGGTGATATTTGTCAGACAAGGTGCGAAAACACACACATAAAGGAAACTGCAGTATTTATGATTCATCATTTCAAACTCACATACTTATGATTTTTTTCTTTTTTTTTCTATTCACTGAGAAAACGGACCTAATTGCACTTTCTGTTGCGCCTTAAAATGCTGCCTAAATGCCTTGCTCCTTTTAAAGAGCATCTATACCAGGGATTGAATTTGTTGAGTCGGAAAAGACATAAATATGTCTTTGGAAGTGAACGACTTTTTAAGGTCATCCAGGGTTCCCACTCTTCCACTTGCTTTTTATTGATGGACCTTTTAAGGACTTTTGGGGGCTAATTTAGCCATTTTTAAAGGACTCTTTCTCCATTCAGCAGGGGATTCATGGTGGATTTTATGAAGAGAAAGCCACATATCACTGAGCTGGTGTTAAGATAAGATAAGAAAACCTTTAATAGTCTCACAATGGAGAAATTCCCACTTCACACCAGCAAAGTTATGAGAGATAGAAGTAGAAGAACAAAATAAATAGGAGCTGCTGGAAAGGCAGCCACTCTCGCGGCGCCATCTTGAAGTCAAAATAACAACAAAACACATAAGACACAGTTCACAGTATACATAATACATAACACAAGACAATGTTCAAATCATTGCTGCCTAAGGAAGGGCACATCTTTATTTATCGGGGCAATCAGCTAACCCTTTATTTGACATACTGTACATCAAATTGGCCCTAAATGACCCGAAGTGATCACGTGATCATCATCGGAATTGATCGGAGACAATTAACATAACTTTGCAACTTCTTTTTTATGGATTTTTATGAACTTTAAGGACCCATGGGAACCCTGTCATCAAACAAATGTAAAGAGCATACAAAGATAACCTAAGTCAATCTAAAATGCAGTTACTAAATAGTCACTTGGAAGTCATGAAATCTACCTAACACATTTTCAGTTCATTTTTCACTAACCACACCCAAGCCTGATCTGTTTACTCCAAAAAATAAAAAAATACCAACTTGTCTGACCAAATTAAGGTGGCCAAAAGATCTCAAAAAGCTGCAACAAAATGCCATGATCCAAATTAACTCAAGAACAGGTACGAAAAGAAGTAATTGACATCCATCAGTCTGGAAAGGGTTAAAAAGTAGTTCCTAAGGCTTTAGGACTCCAGCGAATAACGGTGCGAGTGATTATTCACAAATTGAGAACACTTGGAACGATGGTGAATCTCCTCAGGAGAGGCCAGCCTACGGAAATGGCCCCAAGAGAAGAGCACAGCGACAACTCATCCAGGACAGGGTCCAAAGAACTGCAGGCCTCCCTCCTTCACCTCAGTTAAGGTCAGTGTTCATGACTCAACGGTGAGGAAGAGACTGGGCAAAAACAACATCCATGGCAGAGTTCCAAGGTGAAAACCACTGCTGACCAAAAGGAGCATCAAGTCTTGTCGTACTTTTGCAAAACACATCTGAATAATTCCCAAGACTTTTGGAGTAATGTTCTATGGACCAACAAAACGAGAGTTGACCTTTTTGGAATTCTGCCGAGCATTTTTCCACAGAAAAGTGAAAGCTCATTGCCAGTGATAGAAAAAGCTTGATTTCCATTGTTGCTGCTGAGACGTTAACGGGTAATCAGATTGGAATGGCAAGCTGTTCCAAGTAGGGTAAACTATGTGGCAAATGAATTTAAAGTTTAATAGTTGTTAGCGAAATATGTTCAGTATTAACATTTTATCTTCTCCTAATAAAGGGTGTCCCAAAAAATGTATACACACCTTAAATAATTGTAAATTTGGGGTTTATTATAATTCGAATAATTTTCAACATTCATTCATTCATTCATTTTCCGAACCGCTTGATCCTCACTAGGGTCGCGGGGGGTGCTGGAGCCTATCCCAGCCGTCTTCGGGCAGTAGGCGGGGGACACCCTGAATTGGCTGCCAGCCAATCGCAGGGCACACAGAGACGAAGAACCATCCACGCTCACCATGTAAAAGAAATTACAAATATCATTCAGTCTTGTTATCGCATGTTCTCAAACTGCTGTCCATTCTGCTCCAGACACTGCTGACAACACGAAGTGATGTAATGGCACACATCACGACTAGCTTGCCACAAAGACTTTCTTGGACTTAGTTGAAACGTTTCCAGTAATCTTTCTTCTTTTGTGGGGCTTGTCGATGTACGTGGTCTTCCGAAACGCTTCTTATGGATGTCATGAACAGTTCCATCAGCTTCAAATTTATCTCTAATTCGAGTGATAGTAACTCGTGTTGGTGGTTCTTTGTTAAACTCCCTCCTAAATTGTCTTTGCACTTCTACTGCGTTTTCATACTTCCAGAGGCATTTTAGAATGAATTTCCTTTCTTCAAAGTCAAGTCTGGCTGCCATCACTCGGTTCAATGTGTTCAGTCTATAAAGAAAGAATAAATAATTGAGTTATCAGCTGCTAAAATGTGTATACATTTTTGGGACACCCTACTTTCTACTTTGGAACAAACAAAAGGACAGGTTGTAATTTCTGTTTTTGTCTTGAACCGTTTCAAACTTTTGTGGCCAGTTACTTATGCATCCTGCCGACAGTTAGAATAAAGAGGCGTCAGTGTGTGTCACCGAGGCCATTCTTCTCTGAGTCAATGGGAAAGCTCAGTGACCGTGCATGTTTGGGCATTCAACAATTTCTTTGTGTATCCGCCCTCACACAACACTGCCCCACAGAAAATTTGTTGGTATTATGGTTTATGATCCACAGAGGAAAGAGGGCCTAATTCATCGGGTTGAAAACATTATCATAAATCTTGTGGTCAACAATCTCAGTCTGTCGAGTTTTTATTGAACCACGCAAATGTGTTCATTAATGCCTGGGAGTGTGGATGCTGGCTCTTTAATTGCAACTAAACAATTCAGAGTCCCAATTGTGCACAAAGTACTCCGTGCAACGTCGTTATTCCCTGGCCTCTTCTCCAGTTCAAGACACTTGGATCTTTTCTGCCGAGTGGGCAGAAAGAAACACCACTAATCACTGTATAAGCCACTCTCTCTACAATAAACTAGTCCGACACCTGCAAGCTTTGTGATCAGGAAATATGTCTGGGGCAAGGTCAAGTGCATTTCGCTTGGGGAATACACTATTTTAAAGCCAGTAAATACAGAGTTTGTATTATTTTTAGCTGTCCTTTTTGGCTTTCCTGTGTGAAGTTTGCATGTTCTGCCCGCACTTGCGTGGGTTTTCTCGAGGTACTCTAGTGTCCTCCCACATTCCAAAGACATGCAATGATAGGTTAATGGAACACTCGAAATAGTCCGTAGGTATGATTGTGAACGTGAATTGTTGTTCGTCTTCATGTGCCCTGTGGGTGATTGGCAACCAGTTCAGGGTGTCCCCTGCCTACTACCTGAAGACAGTGCATGAGCCTCGTGAGGATAAAGGGGTTTCAGATAATGGATGGATGAAAGGATAAAAAATTTGTTTTGAGTGTATCTTTTTGCATTATCATAAACCTTCTACAGTACATTTGTTTTGTGTGCCCAAATATATTTCCTTTACCTCTAATGGGTGAACGCCAAACAACTTGAAAGTGTTCTGTGGGGTAATTGTGCTGACAGATGAGCATTAATCCCAAATGAGACAAGCAGGACAATGAAAACAAACGTAATCCATTTTAAATATGTCATTTATGAGCATCCATTGAGTTAAAAACATCGATTTGTTATTCAGCATGACAAATGAAGGCATTATTCCAAAGCAGCATAAAACCGCTCATCGCCCACTTTGTGATTGTAGCTTTCTTTGCAGTTATACAATTGTTGTAGTGCCTTTATGATGTGTAACGATCAAGTGAGCAAGACGCAAAACATGTTGTAAAATCATTATTCACCGTGCACAACAAAAGGAAACAAAGCTGTGAAAACTCAAAACATCAAATGACTGCTGCCAATGTGACAAATTAGAAACACAACGCTACTCCGCCTTCATCCTGTGAGGTACTCCTCCCAAAACGATCCGTTTCCAAGGCACAAGAATGACGTGGTTGCAGTGTTTGCGTTAATGCTTGATTGCCTCACTGTGAAAGTCCTACAAACAATACTTAATTATAGTATCCTGTCTTTGATTAGTATTATTTTGGTGAATTAAAGATGTTCACCCCCTCTCTCCCTTCGCTGGCAGTGGTTGTATGAATAGCAGAATGTAATTGAGGTTTGCACAAAGATGTTTTGATCTTGTCTCACATGGGTGGCCAGCGTGAAATGAAGGCAGTTCGAGACCATCATCCCCCAACAAATACATAGATGTTTTTTTTAAGTTTAAAATGTTTTTTTTTTTTTTTATGTAGTTGTACCTCCAAAGTCCAACAAAGCCTTGCGAAGTGACTCTTTTTGTTTCAATTTCAAAATTCCCCAACATACTTTAGTATTTCCATGCACATGACAAGTAACACATGTCCGTTTTCCGAAGACAAAAACATGAATGGGAATTGTGTCAAGTGAACCATGCCGTGTAAAACCAGCCACTGTTATTGAATGACTGTAGCTCAGTTTCAAACTGTGACCATGATAATACATTGGTACCTCTACTTACGAAATTAATTGGTTCTGGAAGAAATTTCTTAACTAGAAAATGTTGTAATTAGAGATGCGTTTTTCATGTAAATGCCCGAATCCGTTCCAAGCCCGCCCAAATTCAGACATAAATGTTTCCTAAAGCATAAAAATGCATCAAAATATGTAACAAATACATGCTACAATCAGATTAATGCACAATAAATGAGAGCTGTGCATCATGTAAAAAACAAAGAATAAAGAATAAAAATGATGGTCAGTGAACTTTTAACTCCATCCTCATTGTTTTTTGCCCTCTTTAGTTCATGTTCTCTCTCAGAAGTGGTTTTTGGCTGGCGTATTGTAAAGAACTGATCCAAGGACGTTTGTTGCTTTTGTCGGCTTTTAACAATCCTTCGAAAATGTCCAAGGCAAACATCAGGATAGGAAGCGACCGCCTGACTGGTGAACGCTTTTTCTGGATGATTCACATTTACGTAAAACTATCGGAACACCTCATGGCCCGAGGGGCAAATGACGAGGACGCTGCATAGCCAATGGGATGCCAGGATGATGCTCAGTCATAGCCAATGGCAGAGCAGCTATGAGTATGTTGCGTTCGGAGCTGCGAGTTGCAGGCCATACTGTATTTTTATCTTTCATATCTTGACATTTCTTTCGTAACAAGAGGCAATATTTTCCTGTTGAGACGTTTCGTAACTTGAACATTTCGTATGAAGAGACACTCGTAAGTAGAGGTACCACTGTACTTCGGTTATTTCTACAGGCAGATATTTTCAACTACCCTACACATATGAATACAAGTTAACCAATATATAAAAACACTAAAAACAAACCAAAGTAATATATCTGTAACATGATGGAGAGGGAATAGGAAGGAGTTTGCAAAGTATTGCTGAATCTTCTTTTTTGGGAGGAAGGCCAGGGGGGAGTATTTTACTTCGAATTGTACAGTATGTTTGACTTTGGAGGTTCCAAACTAAGATAATTTGGTCTAAGTAGGTGAATTTTGTCACATTAACGCCCTCCGTTACACATACAATACAGTGTGTTGCAAATAAAAAAATATAAAGATGCGGCCACCATACAATACATAATTAAATGCAATGTTGACTACCTGCTGTCACTACAAGAAAAGAAATGGTTAGAAGGCCGACAAAGACAAAACGACCACGATGACCTTTGGATCAGAATAAAATAGATCTACAGGATGTAATTAATGGGATTGTATTTATTGCTCCAGTATCCTTTTAAGAAGAACAGTTGAAATTTTTGACCAGTAGAGCGATGACAGTAAAATGGTCATACCCTATATATAGTCCTTAGCTTTCATGTCGCTGCTTTTTTTCATGGGGCCTCAAATACAATCACATTAATATTTGTGCTTGTACTTTGCTGGCGAAAAACAATCACGCCCTCATTTCAAGATGAGCAGTGTATATGCATGCATGATTACCGGTAGTTGTAAGGAAGAGACAGCCGGATTTGTGCCAGTGGTATAGCTACAATATTCCGTAAGACACTGGAGCTCCAAAAATATAATTTGAGTCACAACAATGTAATATAGAGCAGAGGTGGCTTTTGAATGACAACTTTTTAAAGCAATACTGTCACGTAATTACACTTGAGTTTTCTATTCTGGGAACATACGACTTCATCGTAGACAAATATTTCTCACAAAATGTTAGGTGTATTTGGCTTTTGGATGAAATTCCAGGATGAATCTCCAATGTACTATTTATAAAAATTCTAAGTTGACTCAATTTGACCTTGTGTAAAATTTTGAATGCAAATGCATAACTGTTCAGTTTTTCAGTGCTCTTTGCACAACTTGCTGTTCTCGAACAAGGAGCAGAACAGGACAATTGACAAGAGGTGTTTGATCCATGGATGCACAAATGCATTCTTTGCTGCGAAGAGAATTTGCTATTTAAAGATGCGGCTGACATTTGGACATCATGACACCTCGCAACTGATCAACACTGAGCTTTGAGTGTCACAGAGCGTCATCGGCATGTTGCAACAGTGTTGCGTTTGGGAATTTTGCCATTTAGCTCCTTCGAAATAGAGAACAGCAAGTTGTGCAAAAGTCTACTGAATAGCTGCACAAGTGCATTCAAGTTTACTGAAGCTCAAATGAACTTCACCTGTAAAAGTTAAAGCGCATTTTCAGTTTATCTTTAAGTTTCACCCAAAAGCCGAATAACATTTTGTGTGTATTATATGGTTGATGAGAAATGCTAACATTGCTAACAGGACAAACAGAAAACAGAGTGAAATTCTGAAAGTTTTCACAGAGATCATCAATAAATTAAATAAAACTAGTAAATGAAGTCAATTTACGACAAAATTAACCAAAACAAAAGTCGTGAATGTGTCAGTAATGCCCTATCGTTTTTCACATTCGTCACATCCATCATTCTGCTTCGAGTCCACTCGAGGTTTTGCTCTCTGACGCCAGTTTTCAGTCTTCACAGCTCTTCAACAAATGACCAGGAACCCTCAACATGTTTCTTCATTGTTACTTTGACCAAAGAGAGGCTCCATCTTGGACTCAACCCACGTGCAGAAGATGTAGTCTTCTGCACGTGGGTTGCAGGGATGTGGACACACAATAACAGAAATCCATTCGGGGGTCACCATCAGGCCACTAAGCCCAGCCTGGAGATCTTAGCGGAGAGGAAGGAGTGGACAATGAAGACGATTGGCTTGGGACACGAGTGGAGATCCAGTTGCTGGAAGGAGAACAATGGATACAGTGACATGAAACACGAAGGAAGGAAAATAAACAGGCATATCATGACGAAGTGTAAACATGACATGAAAAGGTCAACATTTCCCATTGCAACGCAAATTAGCCGACATGTAAAAGAACAAGCCCCTTTTTTTCTTCCTCATTTTACAATGAGCCATTTCATGGATCTATGACTCACTTTCTTTCCTGAGGCTCGTAAGGAAGCTTCAACCTATAAATTCCCTCTTAAACCACTGTTTGCTTCCTCCAATAAAACTTGGATGATGACTGCTTTTCTCCAGTAAACCGCATTGCATTAATTGTAGGCTGTCTATATCAGACCGTTTTAAATGGGGGGGGGGGAACACTGGGGAGGGGGGGGGGCACGTGTGACTGAAGGAACTTTTTTCTTGTTGTTGCTGTCCTAAAATACTGTAGGCAGAATATCATAACATTAAAATTTGGAGTTCTTGCATTTAATGTTGGTTTCTTGGTCAGCAGTTTTGTGCCGTCTTGAATGATCATTTTTATGTAAGGGAGCCCTTTGCACTACAGGTTGTGGTTATTTTGTTGTTTCCTTCAACCCCCTTTTTTGTTGAGGAAGGATAATGAATCTTTTATCCATTGAAAAATGTACTATCCAACATGAAATATATCAAGAGGATGTATTTTGCACATGTACACACATTTCATCCATATTTAACACAGCTTTTTTGGTCATATATCTGGTGAGGAAGCACACGGTCCGTTGTGCCCCCCACAGTTGGTCTAATGAAAAATTGAGGTCCCTTCTGACATTTAAGTAGCCCACCCATCCCTGATCTTGATGAGTCTAATAAACTTAAATTTAGATTATTGTTTTTTGTATTGAGAATGTAAGAGTTTTGGACCTTTTGAATTTTTTTTTCACACCCCCTAAAAAAAACAAAAAAAACAAAAACAAACAAAAAAACATCTTCAAGTGTTTTGCCAGGTGTGTAATTTTCAGATTTTATTTCCCTGCTCAACCCAGTTTGCCAGGGTATAAATAATTTTGGGCCAAAGTGTATTTCTATTTGGAGACAGACAATTCAGACTGCTTGTAAACATTTCAAAACAGTCATCATACTTCAATGTCTGTTAAAGGGTAGATTTATGTTCATAGTGCTACAGCTGTCTAATAACAATTGTTTAGTGCCGTGTTTTTATGGAACACGGTACCGTAAAACCGCTTTTTTATTGATCCTGAAAAAAGTCTTGATAAGTAACCTTTTACACCACGGCGATTTATTCTTCATTTTGGAGGGCTTGAAGAAGCCCGACAGTGTTTCTAAAGTGCTGTCAAAAATATTTGGGCCCGATTTCCATTCTTTTCATTCTTATTTCACCCAGCTATTTGGATGGTGACCGAACATCTCTCCACCGACGGCATTGTACTCGTGCTCGGTATGTACAAGTTAGTGATAATAGTTTTCGCATGCTGATGAATGCATGACGCACGAAACAACCTTGTTCTCTCTTTAGTGCAGCCTTTAAATGTAGCTCAAGCATATGCAGAACTGCAGTCTAATTTTCAGATGCCTATTTTAGTTTGGTTCAGTCCAACTGTCTCTACGGGAAAGGTAAACAGTCAAGTGCGGAGACAAATTTAGAAACACAGCATATCTGTGCCAAATAATGACAGTACAGTCAACATGATGAAGAGAAAAGGACCAGCGGATTTGTCTTTCAAAAGTTGAGCTAATGAGCCATCAGCCAAATCCACGAGTGCCTTGGGATTTTTATGAAGCCGTGTTGACAAAAAAAATCCCTCTTCATAGCCAACAGAGAATTTTCCATTTATACTGAGCTGTAAATGGCGAGTGAGACATCTTTACACAAACAGAACATCTCCATTTACATTAATTCATTCCCATTAGCCAAAAGGGTGATTAATTTAGCGCCTTTTAGCATTTTGACTGCTGTCTTCCTAAAAACTGTTTGTCTTGCGACCGTAACACACATTAATATTCATAGCGTCATCAAAAGTTCTTCAGGGAATAAAAAAAAAAAGTGACGTTTTCCCAAATGAAAATGCCAACATTTCATAAGGCAGAGGCACATGTGCTGTTGATTTGTTAAGTTTGACTGTAATCGGTCCTGACTGCTGCGTAAAAAGAGCAGCCTCGACTAGTTACGCAGTGATTGGACCTGATTAAAAGTCGAACAGGATGGGAGAGACCCTCAGGCTGCGGTTGATTTTATTTCAGGAGTTTTTCTGTGATGGTGTGTGGGAATTTTCCAATGCATCTCCACTTAAAGGTTAGGCTAATGAAATATATATTAGAGCCGGCCTAAACCGTATCTTCTGTTTGACCACCTTTCAGAGTCACGTAACCTCCACCAGTGATTTGAATAAGATGATTCTATGAAACTTTAGGACACAATAAAAATATCAAAATCACATCATATGCCGGTCACACACAAGTCAAGCCTGTACATTATCACTTGTATCCAAATTGATCTGCCCACTTCCACATGAACACGTGTCATTTTCTTGCTTAAAATAAAGGAAAGCACTCACAATCTCCCCCTCTTTTCCTCCAAAGTCCAGGAATAGCATTCGAACGCCATCGTCCGATGACATCCTCAGCTTTTCGTAAGGGTAGGATAGGAGCACTCGTTTTTTGGTTGGAGTAAGGGGTCGCCCCTCGTCTCCATTCTCACTGTCACGGGGTTTGGGTTCAGCCAACACGAAGAAGCCCTGCTCGTAGTGAATCACCAGTCGGCACTCCTGACCCAGGTAGAGACAACCTGAAAGAGTCATTGCATAGCATTCATTAGTTGTTCAGGAGGTTTTTTTTTTTTTGTGTCTTCCATCTAATTTGTGGTTGATTAAATAGAAAGCACGATCAGTTCATAATTGAATATATTGAGTTGAGGAGCTTAGCCCATCTTGAAGGAGTAAAGCACAAAAATGTGATGCCTTTTGAAAATACCATATGGAATTGTTATTTCTTCCAGCCAAGCCTATAAAGATTAAATTGTTTACCAAAACCAAGACCTGATGGAAAAAAATTATCATCTTAGACACCTCAAGCCTTTTACAAGTGCAACGCTCTTTTAAAAATGTAGCTTTGAGCTAGACAAAGACAAAAATACGCGAGGCTTTGAAGAAGGCCAGATTGACCACTCAACTATTCACCACAACAACCTCAGCCAATTTGTGTCCGAAATCCTTCAAAAATAAATTGGATTTTAACTCTAACCAAGGGAAATAATCCTTTAATACTGAAGTAATTTGGTTACGAAACCTTGGCTATCATCAAACGTGCTAATAACATTGGACCATGGAAACCTTAAGGGTTTTGGATGAAAAAAAAAATCCCCATTAAATGAATATGGAGCTTGTTCTAAGATAAGTACAACACAGAAAATGGGGGAAAAAAGTGATCCGTTTGACCGTGCAGACGGCTTTTGAAGTAACTTTATCACTGGTCATACAAGCGTAAAAGTTAGTTAATGACAGTTAATAGTAAAACCGATAACATTAAGGAAAAAAAAATACTCTTTGCAAATTATATATTTCACCCATAATTATTTCTATGAAACATAATGAACCGAATGACTGGAAAAGTAAAAGCAACACAGGAAATTTCAATGCACAGAAATGTAAATAATGAAAAATCCATCTCTATTTTTGTGATACATGTTTCACAGTTGAGGCAGTTCAAGATATTGCAAGTGACATTTACTGGTCCTTTATGGAAAGCTGTGCCCTTACGCAACCAATTGACAATAACAACAAATGGTGTGCTCTAAAAAATTCAAATGGAAAAGCCTTTTCATACTTCACTTCGTCGTGAGCAGCACGCCATTGCTATTCATTGTTTCTGTACTGTGAGGATGCGACAATGGAACGCCCTGCAAGATGGCTTATGCAATAACAGCAATAGACCAACCAGCAGAAAAAAAGCATCCATGCTACTTCCTGGTAGGTCACGTATCACCCATGTCCAAATATGGATAAGCTTGCACCCGAGGACGGTGCATTGTCCTCGGGTGTCAGCCAATCGCAAACGGTGCAATGTGAAAAGGCCTTAATGGCCAGAGCCATTTCTGTGAATCCAGTACTTCCAACTGATAGTACCTATTGAAAGTTCAAATGTGAAATTCTGAGACAAAACCTGAAGGTTTTGAACAAATACTAGTCTGCTATTGGCTGGCAACCACTTCAGGCTATGCAACAGTCGCTCACAGCGACTTGAGAAATCTATCATGTATTCATGTAATATATCATGCGGGCTCATCTCCCTACTGTATGCTCCGTGCTTATTTGTATATGTTACGTTAACAGTGACTGATTATTTGCTGGCTGTGTGCACCATTCAGCATCATTTATCTCTTCTGCAGCACCATTTCTCTCTTTTTTTGTATCTTTAACAGCATTAAACTTGCTTCTTAGTTTACACGTAACAACGCTGTTCTTTCATGTTACATTGGCTTCATTCCCCCTCAGTGTGATCAGTTTACACTGAAGTCTCATAATTTGAAAATCTTGACGTGTGTCTTGGTGCGCACACACACACACACACACACACACACACACACACACACACACACACACACACACACACACACACACCCCACCAAAGCCCTGGGGCTTTTTTTTTTTTTTTTTTTTAAATGAACAGCCTAAGCTCCTCTATCTTGATATCATTTCCTCTGCATGTTTGGGCGAAGAAGGGGCAGAGAGCCAGAGGCTAGTTATTATCTTGCCATTGTTTACTGATAGCTTGAAAAGAATGTGTATACACTCACTGTGTGCTCGTGCGCGTGTGTACAGGAGGATCATATTTGCATGGCGTGTGCTCATTCAAGTATGTGTGCTACTTCTCCCTGTAGCCTGCCTAAGCATCTTTTGTCTGACTAGAATGGTTTTTGTTGAGTCAAACCTCATGTAGTGAAGCACGAAGCTTCTCAGTTGCTCACCGATAATGTGCATCACATTATGATTTGGATGAATTTGGAAATTCTTTAACCTGTACAGAGTAGCAGATGGTTGACTTACACCGTACAATAATTTACAATGAATAATTTTGGAGAAAAAAATTGTCATTGTTTTGGCACATCCTCTTAAACATGCAACAGCTTGAATAAAAACATGTTTTTTTTTGTTGTTGTTCTTTTTTTAAAAAACTAAAGGCACTTTAAAAAAAACACCCCAAAACGAATTGGCTCACAATTGCAGTCATCACTTAACATATATTGACTTCATGTCACAGCCAATCATACCCATTTATTCAGCTATGGCAACTTGCACGTCATTATGAGAGAAACAGAGAGCCCACTCATGAGCAGCAAACTGCAATTGTTTCTGACTACTGCTGCCTAAAATCTTTTATGTCAAAAGCATGAGTGGTTAATTCATCAGTTGCTTGGATACCAGCAAACAGATCTGCTGCACCAACTCCGCCCCTCTCGATGGCAAACGCTTCCATCGTTTGTTTAATATTCAGCAGTTCGCTTTGTTGAGAAAATTTGCTTTAGTGGTCCTACACCTCTGGTAAATGCAGTATAGATGACAAATGGTCAAATTATAGTTGGAGTATAGTCTGGTACTTGAGCGCAAAGGTGGAGTGAATACCGAAACAATTAAATCACTAATCAAAATGCAACTGGATGAAATTCTACTAATGGATGCCTACTAATGTACACATTAGGTCCTCGATTTGCAATTGTTTTGTTGAAATCAGTTTATCTTCTGGACTTGGAAAATAAGTCAACAACAAAAAAAGAAATAACACCGTGTACAGTCGAGCCTCCAAAGTTCAGCACAATCAATTCTGGACGCTTGGAAAACGTCATGCTTACATATACTCTTCCACGTTGGAAACAATGTAAATTGAAATAGTGGAAGCACATTGGCATCAAGGGGCAGCCCGGTGATCGAACGGTTAGCGCGTCGACCTCACAGTGCAGAGGTCGTGGGTTCAAGCCTGGCTCCGGTCTTCCTGTGTAGAGTTTGCATATTCTCCCCGTGCCTGTGTGTTTTTTTTCTGGGTACTCCGGTTTCCTCCCACATTCCAAAAACATCCATGGCAGGCTGATTGAACACTATAAATTGTCCCGAGGTGTGAGTGTGAGCGCCTATGGTTGTTTGTCTATGTGTGCCCTGTGATTGGCTGGCAACCGGTTCCCCCACCTGCTGCCCGAAGACTGCTGGGATAGGCTCCAGCATGCCTCCTCCTGCGACTCATGTGAGGATAAAGCAGTTCGGAAAATGGATGGATGGACATGGCATGAAGGCTCATGGTTGCCTGTCTAGATGTGCTCTGTGATGGACTGGCGACCAGTCAAGAGTGTACCGTGTTTCTCGGCCAAAGTCAGCTGAATTAGGCTCCAGTTCTCCCCATTGATGACAGGCTCTACAAGAAATGATCTGGTCAACCCAACATAGAACCTTAAACCTTACAGGCAATGTCTTAAGTCACATTTGAGCATTTCTTAACTGCCATGCAAGTATAAAATAAGTGAATGTCAGAAGAATAAGGCTGAGTAAATTGAAAACATACATAATAGTCATCCCTTGACAACGCATATTAGAAGAAGTAGCAAGGAGCCTAGCTTTGCATCTAATTATTGTGGGAAATGCGTAAGAAAAATAAATAAGGACCTGGCGAGCATGAAAGTCACCGATGGACCTTTTTTTTTCACGTACGCTGGAGCAGCTATTAATGGCAAAGAAAGGCACTTGTGGATGTGAACAACACCAGACCGTTGAAAAGCAATATTGGAATGATCTTTACTTAGAAGTTGGTATCATGTTCAAACATCAGGTTTGATAAACGCAATGTGATGTGTGCAGAAGTGTTCCTATCTAATGGACATTTTCCCCTGTTTTAAAAAAAAAAAAGAAAAAAGAAAAAGGGAAGGTTGGTTGGGTGGTGCTCGATTTCTCGCTTACTCATTTGAATAATCAACAGGATAATCTATTCCAATTTTGTTTGATGGGGCCATAACCTAGTGTGCCCTCCTGTACTGTGCTTCCCCAGATTTATTTATTCGCCTTCTTACCCCAGTATGGAATCTAAATTCCGACAACTATTCCTCAACTGAATCTTAAAATACTTATGAAAGGTTACCATGTTTCGTGAAAATGATTGACAAAGTTAGTATTTCTAATGCAGAGCCGTGCACACAATTGGATCTTTGCATCAAATCCATCAAAGTAGTGCAAAACAAAAGCACACACATTTATATGATGATACAAAGGTCAAGAAATATGCCTTGAAAAGGTTGAGGAAGAACCATTAAATAAATTGTAAAATGTTTCAATATAATTTGTAAAGTGCAGTGTTTGGACCACGACATATAATATAGAATGTGTGTGGCTTGTGCCAGGCGCACTTTGGAATATTAATGATGTTTTTCCTTCTCTACTACATTATATAAAGAAAAAACAAAAAACAAAACCCTTAGAATTTAATTATTTTGAGCATATACATTTGTTTCACGTGATTGAAATGAGGAACCTACAGTATTTCTGTTCTATTTAAGTCAATTTAAAGGGCTGGTTTTTTTTTCCCCAGGCAGCACGGTACACCACTGGTGAGCAGTGCAGAGGGCATGGATTTGATTCCCGGCACCGGCCTTCCGGAGTGTGGAGTTTGCGTGTTCTCCCCGGGCCTGCATGGGTTTTTCTCCTGGGCCTCTGGCTTTGTCCCGCATTCCAAAAACATGAATGGCAGGTTAATGGCACACTCTAAATTGTCTTTAGGTGCGAGTGTGAGCACAGATGGTGGTTTGTCTATGTGTGCCCTGCGATTGGCTGGCAACCAGTTCAGGGTGTCCCCCATCTACTGCTCGAAGACGGCTGGGACAGGCTCCAGCAAACCTGAGACTCTCATGAGGATAAAAGGGTTTCAGATAATGGGTGGATGTTTTTTTTTTCAGTGTTGCAACTACAAAACACTGTAATGTCACGACGAAAGATGAAAACCCCAAGTCAGCATGACAACATCGTCATTATATTGTGGTTGCAGGTTCTAAGAGAAACTCTATCCATCGACCAGCGACCTTTGCTACACTTGTTGGTGGCTAAAAGAATGAGAGAAACGGTCAAAGTAAAGAGTGAAGTGACTTTTGAGATAAGGAGAGGATCTAATGTAATGCATAGATACGCGCATTTTTTCTGCTATGTTTAATCTTGAAAATGACATTCGCTGTACGTTCCGCACTAATGATTTTAGAACCACGCTGTTCTGCACTCTAAGGTGTCACAGCAGGTAAATTATGGTAATTCTTAACTTTCACTCTTAGAAAATTGCATTTTTTTAAAATGCACTATTAGCCATACAGCTTTTAAAAAAATCTGACCATTTGAAAAAACTTGAATAGGCAGATGTTTGTTCTGCAGTTATTTCCCACATACAAAAATTATCTGCGATTTTGGGTGACCTTTGCCCCAAGTGTCCTTGTGTGAACTAACAAAACTCAATAGAAGCAGGTTAAAAAATATACATACAAAAACAAATCGCCTGTCGATTGTAAGACTGCTACAAAGGTTATGTCCTTCTGTCTAGACAACATTTGGTCATGGTGCTAAAAAAAGATGAAGAAGTCAAATTTTCCCGCAACTAAGCATGACACACAATCTGATTTACGATCGACACACAATATGATTTACGATACTATCCCTTTGGGCATCTAAATGTGCAAACTGCACACACGACTGAACACTTCGTGTTGTACAAGCGACTGCAAAGACAATGTCGAAAAGCTTGGCTGTGACAAATGATGACATTGACGGGATGTGAAGCTGGCATCAAGCAGACTTCGCTGCTGGATACAAGAGGGACCGAAGTGAAAGTTGGCACTGTGTGATGAGTTAGGGCTGGTGAGGGGGAGGAGAGGGGGGGGGTCATGGTCACCCACGGGAGACGTGCAGTTCCCAGGACATTTTGTACAGGGAGGGAAAAGGAGAGGGGAGGGGGTTCGGTTGGAATTCCCTTGACAGTGAATACACAATTACAAAAACACAGAAAAATGCCGCTCGCGTCTATAAATAGCTTGCAAACGTCTCCCATATGGCTCCCTTCTACCTTCTGTGGGCGTTTGTGTTGACATTCTGCTTCATGAGCTTGGTTTAAGATGTTATTTTAATCTCGCAGCGCTTCAGGCTGTGCACTGTACACCGAAGAAGCGTCGGAAGATCTAGCGCAGTGACCTGGGCTGCATGATTTATTCCATCCTCAGACTTCTAAGTTCGCCAGTCTCATGCATTTTTCTCTTGGTTCACAGAGGATACAGTACGTTTCATGTGACATTGATTTTAGGGAAGCTTTTGTTTTTAATATACAGATGTACCTTGACTTACAAGTGCCCCAATTTCCTTATTTTTTTTAGTGAGGAGAAGCGGTTCAGAAAATGGACGGACGGAACTATCAGTTCTATTTTACAGCATAATGCATTTTAAAAAAAATTATAGACATTTTGTAACGTTTCATCATTTTGATTCGTGCCATTTAAATTATATACAGTATTCTCAATGCGGAAAATGGACTTGATATACAGTTAAATCGCACTAACGACGCGATTAGTCATGGAATGAATTAAGCTTCAAGTCAAGTCAAGGTACCACTGTTTATCAACATTTATGTCAGTGTCGGTGTGATGTAGCCGTACTCACTAGTACTGACTTCTTTGATCATCTCGGCGGATGCGTGACAGCCGTTGACTATTTGTCGAGTCCACAGGGATAAATCCTTGCTGGTTTCAGCTCGGAAAAGATGAGTCTCGATTCCAAGGCGACTGCCGGTTCGAGTGGCGAAAAAGAGCTCTGTGCCCGAGTAAGGAGAACTCATGTCAGGCCCAGAGTGCACCAGACTGGAGGAAAAACAAAAACTCACATTTGAATACACGGTAGAATAATCTGCAAAGACATTATCTGACTTCCAAGTTGTTCTCATTTCAATCAGATTTCTCACTAGAAATAATGTCAAGTGACTAAATTTGGTCCAGGCTCAAATGATCTTAGTCATCAAAGATTGGCAGGCTGTGTTTCTGGTTACATTGGAACGTCCCTTAACTGAGTGAGTGAATCTTTATTTTCTTTTTTAACAAACAAGTGATACAGTTGGCGATGTATACTCTTACATTTCGTTAACATGACGTTGATGGAGTCTTCCTGAGCTGTTTTTATATGACAATGGATAAAAATGAGTCTAAAAGTAAAAAAAAGCTTTATAAATAGTTATCATCATGTCACACACATTCATGGGAAGACGGCTAAATGTTATGAGCCTGAAAACGCTTTTCCAAACAAAGTGTACAGTACGCTAGGCCCAGCAAAGATGTGTGACTACCAAAGCTCATATTTTCCACCCAAATAGATGTTGCATACTAAATATTAAAAATATGCTGTTTGACACAAAAGAGAGGACCAGGGTTTTTAATAATACTGTACACAGAACTTTTCAAAAACCCAAGCACCTTTCGAGCGTTCAATCTTGTATAGTATAAATCTTTGACCTACAACTGTTAGCTTTTATACCATGGAATCTCACGAACATGTTTCGGTTGTGTTGCTGTAAGGATGGACCCACCGTGTTGCAAGAAGAGGATATGTGTGTGCTGGACTGTGCCAGGCCTCCTTGCTCCGAGGCAGGCTGTCATAGAGCAGAAGGTCTTTCTCTGTCACCACCACTAGCACAGGCTTCCAGCACTGCTTCTCGCTTTCGCTTTGCTATGAAACGGAACTCGGTTGAGAGTGTTGACATCCAACAGTCTGAACAATACTAATAGGGATCAACAGCAAATTGTGTGTGTTCGTAAATATCAACTTATGCATAGGCTCGGGTTACCGTATTTTCTGCACTATAAGGTGCACCTAAAAGCATTAAATTTTCTCAAAAGCCGACAATGTGCCTTATAATCTGATGCGCCTTATACATGGATCAATCGTCTGATTTCTTGGATGTAGTATTTTAAATGTTCTGTTACAGCTGCAGCGGTTGTGAAAGCTCTGTATAAATAAGGCTGTATTGTATTGTATTTCTTTATCATAGCACCATCTAGTGGATGCATAATGCAATCACAGCCACTATTGTAGCTTCTATTCTATGCACGTTACAATGTGGTGTGCCTTATATATGAAAACAGTTTTAAAATAGGACATTCATTGATGGTGCGCCTTATAATCCGAAGTGCCTTATGTTGCGGCAAATACAGTAATCAGAATGTCAAGAGATTAAAGTGAATGCATTATTGGCGAACTCATGCCCCATTCTTGAGTAAACTGTCATTTTTTTGGTAATATACACTAGACTTCGGAATTATAGCTTAGAGACAGCCATGTAAATTCCCCCACCTAAGCACCCCCACCTTCCCTTAACTTTTACGATAGGAGCTTTGCAATACGTGCACGGATGTTCCTGGACAAGATCTCACTTGATTCGTTATTCGGACAATTCCACAACAGTGGCGTCACACACAGGTCACGGAGAGTCTAGTGGTTCAGTTCCCAAACAGTGTCACTCCCAATGTACCCTATGACTGACTGGCGACAAGACCAGTGAGGAGTTTACTTTTTGCCCAAGGTCAGTGTTGATGGACTCTAGCTCACCGTGACCCTACACGGGAAAAGTGTTTTGTACACAAGTTGGATGGATGACGGCATACTGTCATTTAATTCATGACAGCTCTTTGGTTATCCGATGTAAAAAAACAAAACAAAACAAAACAAAAAACAAACAAACAATAAAATACAATAAAAAGCGCTTATTCCATCATTTTTAAACACTGGAAATTTTTCTTTTTATCTGTGCAGCCATCCACTAAAGCTAATGTGCATCTTGAAAATGTCAGTGAATGCTCAAAGTACTGAAAATGTTTTCTTTCCAAAGTTGCTCAAGCACAAACTCAAACAAACAGAGAAGTAATGTGTATGGAATACATAAATCTGTATAACTGTGTTTATATGTAGACCTAACATGTTTTGTTTTTCCCTTCTTTCGCAAGTCAATCACCGAATCAGAATGCCAGAGAAATGTTGTCCATTCGGGAGGTGTGATAGAAATGCAAATTTATTTCTGGTGCTGGTGCATAGGTACATGATTGAGACATTTGCTTTTCCCGCACAACCCCCACCTCTCAAAGAAACCCCTCTTGCTTTTCCTTCACAAGCCACAGAGTTAATCCTTTACATTCAAAGCGCCCATATCCATACCATATGCAGCTTGGTATTTCACATTCATAACTATTCCCATAGAAAGACTTGATCTGCAACCCAGCTAGGGAATCCTAAGCTGCCTTTTGAAGATCTGTCTGAGCCACATGGGAGGATTTTACAGGATCAAGGGTCACATGATGACAATTTGTCGCTAATTAACAATAATGGTTAGAATTTGATCAGAGAATATTGTAAATGTTGGGATATAATTCAACAGATGCAGAGTCATTAAGGAGAGTTTCACATGACTGGAAGCTTGCTGTACACACGAGGATATTCCTAATGATTCTGTCAGTGTGTGTGGGGCCGGGGAGGGCAACCAAACACCACATAAAACACTTGGCACTTGCACATCTTCATGTGCCCGCTTGTAGGTTTCTAACATGAATCTTAACTATCTAAACTCTCCACCTCAACCCTAAGAGAGTGTAAAGTGAGGCTTTTGGGTCATCAAATGCAGTGGCACATATGATTTTCATTCCTTCCGTGATCAGGATACACATTTGCTCCTCACCTTGCCTGCCAGCCATCCCAGGTGTCGAATCTCCTTGCTGCCAGCAACACCTGACCTGGTTGTGTGATGAATCACCTCAGCTAGTGCTTGCTGTAAAGAGGTGACGTGATCATTCAGTACGTCTACATTCAAATGTTGTATGTAAAGGTACAGCATGTTAGAATAAGGAGGATGCGAAAGCTGTTGTGCAACTGTCCAACAGACCTGTGTCAGTGTGGATGTGACGGCATGCATCGCAGAGAACCAAGTGAGGGCGGATGACTGGTCTGGACACCGCAGTACCACGGTGTGCCTGGCATCGGGGGAGTGCAGCTCCACTTGTCTGGACAAAACAGTTTTAGCAAAAGAGGTAAGGAAGTCAAATTACAGACAGTGTATGATTCTTTCTCCCGCGCCCCCTTTTTTTTTTTCTTTCTGGCTGAAAGCCACAGGCCAAAGACATTTTCTTGTTTTAAGTTTCAGTCTTAACTTCTCTGATCCTGGTTAAAAGGCAGTGAAGTTGCCGTACTTGAAAAACCTCTGCGGGCCATTTCAAACAAATAGGCGTTTCTCTCTAAATTTCCTGAACTAATCTCCTTTTACCATAAGGGAGTATTTCTGTCCTCCATAGACACGTATCTATAGAATGCTCCTGGGCCTCAGCGAGCAGCTCTTTGATCGTGTGCTGAATGAATGTGAATTTTAAAAAGGGGTTCTGTCGCGGGTTTCACGGTACATCATATAACACGCTGCCGTTTTAAGATTGTTAACATCATGCCCGTTAAATCCTGTCGATGAATTATCTCAAGAAGTGTAGGAGGTCAAAGGTATTTCCCGATATACAAGTGATGATTAATGCAACCATAATACACAGCTTCATACACGTATGAAGCAAAAAAAATGTCGGATTGTTGAGTTAAAGTGAGAAAACCTGATTACGTCACACCCTCCAGCTATGCCAGTCCAACACGTATGTCAAGCAATAAACATCCTGCCATGAAAGGAAATGAATCAAAACGAAACATGATGAAGATGTTATGCTTACAGCAACAATGACGAGCTGTAAGCAAACTGGGAGGAAATATTTAGTTTCATCCTCAACACTGCGCAGGATGAGTACAACCGCATTCCTTTTCTCGGGTGTTTACCACCAACTATGTCCAAACTCAATAGTCATCTGCCGAGGTGCTCCCGTGGGTGGTGGAGTGAAACTACTCCCAACCACGTGTGGTTTGCGCAAACAGGCTTTCTTTCTTTTCCCTTTTCCACACACACACACACACACACACACACACACACACACACACACACACGCACACGCACAGGCACACGCACACGCCCACGCACACCTGACACAGGACACCTGGAAAATCCCGAGTGAATGTAATGCATGTGCAAGTCGGGCACCACATGCACTGTACTGTACATCCACTCCAGGTGTTGTTACTTGAGTTTAAAAATAGATAGATATAAATAGTTCACACCTGAGCGAAACTTCGGATTTGAAAGTGATCTTTGTTCTACTGAATGTAATGCTCTCAGACGTGCCGCAGTTCATTCCCAGACACTCTCACGCACACTGGCTGATGTCACACGCCATCAAGCCAGGTTTCTTTAAGGCACATGTGTGTGCAGTATCGATCACATAGACTCTTCCATATGTACAGTATGTTACATACGTTGCAAATGTTTGTAGTTGTTCAAATATTGTTTAAATTGTGTTTTTATCATTTAAATTGATTTACAGCATAGGGAATGGGTAAAACTATAAAAATAAACTTTTTTTACATTATGATTTGTCATAAAAAAAATATATATAAAAAGAATTAAATGGCCGGTTCAGGGTGTCCCCCGCCTAAAGCCCGAAAACGGCTGGGATAGGCTCCAGCAGCCCCCCCGACCCTTGTGAGGATAAAGCAGATCGGAAAATGGATGGATGGACGGATTGGTGGTGGGTTTGGAACATACCTTCCAAAATAAACGAGGGCTCACTGTAATGCCTATTTAAAGTCATGTGAAATTGTGAAATGGGACCTACAAGAGCACAATGGGTTGCTGTCCTAGTTAATAGAAATAAATAAACAAAAGGGGGAGGGGAAAGAAAAGAGATGTCTTTTTTAATACTTAACTTCAGCAACTACTGAAAATGACACTCCAGAAAATGTGGAAAACTCCACAAGACATTAAATCTTAGATCCACAAAGCTAAAAATAAGACTTTTATCACCAAGTCGTGACATGCAACTGCCCCCCCCAAAGTAAGAACTAATGAACACACATACACCCTTGACACACAAGTGTAATTTAATGAAAAAGATCAGTTTCATATTTTATCAAATCTGCGCAATCCCTGACTGTACAGTAAATAATCACACCACTACCATATCATAATATGAATAAGTGGATGTTGAAAACATAGTGTCGTCTTTTTTTTTTTTTTTTTAATTGTGTGTTGACATATCTATTTTCTTTAGCCCATCGCTGCGAATTGTGAGGTGCCTAACAGATTGCAGTCACTCCTGTGACAGTCACAATGAATTTGTGTCCTGCTGTTATAATACTCTGTCTGTCAATGTGTCCTTGTTTCATCAAACTGCAAAACCAACAGCTCTGTTACTGGACAAATACCGTAGTCAAATTGGCACACGAGATTACAAGTTGGGATATTGACCCCGAATTCTCGTATAAGATAGAGAGCGGTGAAGTGGAGAATCGTGCCAACCCAGTGAATGTTCAACCACTATTATGCTCTCAAATTGTGTAAGCCAAGTGTGAGCTTTGCTCAAGTACAGCAAAGAGTGCCATCAAGATTTCGCTGGGCCGTGACAGTGAACATGACATCTGGTCCAAACGTTTCACATCTTTTTCATATATTTTTGAAGAACATGAATAAAGATGAGGTAATTTGTTATGAAGCAAGTGAAGACAATTAAAGTGACTCCAAAATAACAGCTGACCACAATTAAATGACCTGTTGAAAAGCGGTGTGTCACCTTTAGATTCCTCTTGTTTTAAACCACAAGTCTCCTTCATGCAGCATTTTGCAGCGATACTGAATGTCACACGCACCACATTCTGATGTCACAGTTACTGCTACGAAATACTCACATGAGAACAGCAATGCATATGCATCTGACATATCACGATCCCTCCCTGGTAAATTTTCATGGGAAGTTAGGGAGGGGAATTTTTCAATTATTCCAATGTGGAAACTTTCCATCAAAATTGTAGGAATTTATCATCATTAACTGGGGATTGAGGGTAATTTAATAAGATTGATAATAATAATAATGTCATTTATATAGCACCTTTCAAGCAATTCAGCAAACAAATGAAATCACATATACATCCAGTATATTCTGGTGTCATGCCATGGAGTGCTTTGACTGAAGAGGTATGATATTGAGGGATAAAAGAAAACTTTTTTTTTTTTTTGTGATACACATAGATCAATGTAAATCGATTGCTCCCTTTGTCCACATTGGTATTTTTATTTATTCTTTAACTTACTCGAGCAGCGGAGGATCCAAAACTTGCTTGTACCTCAATTGTTGGCTCGTAACAAAAAAATAAAATAAAATAAATCAATCAAAATTATGCTAAAACGCACGGCAGTATACTTGGGTTCCCTACTAAGAGCCAACCTTCAATTTGGTCAATTCTTGATTCATTCTCATTTATGCTAATAAATTCCAGTCAATGCTTGTGGAAAATTTGCAACTGTAAAAACTCGTAGAATGTTCTGGCCTCTATTGAGAAAGTAGGACATTTCGGGCTATGACACGAAATACTGCATATTCTTCCTGGTAGATAAGAGTCAGATGACCGACCTATAGGAACAGTTAACAACTGGGGGGAAAAAATGACATTCGGCACATGAGGCAAGAAATGGTACAAAGAACAGAAAGGATAGATGAGTCAACTACCTGTTGTCTGGATCGGCTGTGGTCATGGCTCGGGTTACGTAACACATTTTAAGTGGAATGCATCTTCTGTTGCCCTGCAGGGACAAGGAGGGCTGAAGAGGAGGAGGGCTTCGAGTCTCCGTGGAGGAAGAGGAGGTGATGACAGGAGTGCCGCCGAAACGCGGTGACTCAGGCGGGGGGGTTTCCCATCCGATCTCTGACACAGGTGAGCCCTTTTTGACGTACGGTGTAGCCTCTCGCATGTACTTGACTGGACAGGGAAGAAACAGTGAGAATGTCAGCGTTCAACTGAAAACATGTGACTAAAGTGGATAATTTGTTCATGACACAGTTTGTGGTTCCTACAGGTTTCCAAGTCAAGAGCCACGCTGTTGTTTTACACTTTGGCATATTGTAAAACTGCCATCCACCCATCCATCCATTTTCTTGTGGTTGCCCTTATCAGGACCATCGCAGCTGACTTGGGACAAGAGGCGAGTTACACCTGGATTGGTCATCATCCAGTCGCAGAGCAGATACAGACGAACAATCATTCACACTTACATCAACAGTTATGGACAATTTAGGGCAGGGGTCACCAACATGGTGCCCGCAAAGACCACAAGAGTAGTCCGCGGGCCTGCTCCAACAATAGTTAACCAGTGATGGGGCATTGTGACTTTCTCGGAATGTCGTATAAGTGGTCATTTGAAAATGTAAACAATGGGAGAGATTTATCAAAATAGAGTGGTGTATACAGTAATCCCTCGTTTATCGCGGGGGGTTACGTTCCAAAAAGAACCAGTGATAAGTGAAATCCGTGAAGTAGTGAATTTATTTTTTTACAGTTATTATACAATACTTAACTATATATACAATGAAATCAAAGACCAAAACCTGTTTTCAGGCCCAATTACAAAAAAAAACAAACGTTTTCAACAAATAAGTGTAATAGTTTTTGGAAAAACTGTACTGTCGACACGCGGCGCCGCCGACGCGTTCTGATTTAAAGGGTTAAAGCATTAAAAAAACTGCACTAAAAAAATCCGTGAAACAGCGAAACCGCGCAAAGTGAACTGCGTTAGAGTGAGGGATCACTGTATTGGTAATTGTAATTAATGTTTCCCTATTATTGTGAGAAATCATTAACATGATCAATGTTTTCACAAAAATTAATATCATTCATTATTAATAATAACTTGTCACAAATATTTTTACAATTGACTATCCTATTGATATTCCATCATCACTACATCTCTCTGTATAATATTTTTATAAACTGGTAGTTGTCTAATTCCACAAATGCAACATCAGTTTGGTTTGATTAAATGGTGTCGCTGCACCACAGCAAATCGCATTGTAACATTTATGATTGAAGCACACATAGTGAGTGGGGCAACACTGTGGCTAGCACGCCTCCCGCATAGTCAAAGGTTCTGCGGTTGAATCATGGCTAAGAATGTTCTGTGTGGAGTTTAGAGATTGTCCAGTTTCCTTCCACATTCCAAAAACATACAAGTTTGGTTGACTGAAGAAGGTAAAGTTGGCATATTCCACCTTTCATCCAAATTCTGTAGAGGAATGATCCAGCTCATTCATGAGCCTCAACAAGGAATAATAATTACAGCAATGATGCTGCTCTCATGACCAAGATGCAAATTTCCCAATGAGTGCATGAACTGTCAATAAAATTTTAACCAATGGCAGAAAAGACTCTACTCAGTTCTAACATGCAGGTAGGTGGGAGCGAAAGAGAAACACACTGTCAATCAAAGCACTGTCTAAAACATCCCGTAGGAGTGTTAAAATAATTTAAAAATGAAAAAAAGAGGCTTGTTATAAGTTTTAAAATGAGAACAGTGGGTCATTCCATCTAATGACAACTCGTACCGTATACTACAGTACAACGTTCTGCAAAGAAATCTATGCTCACTTTCAATTGACACTATCACAGAACTATACGGAAGAGCAAACGACAGATCACACATGGAGAAAGCGACACAGACATGAATATCTCAAGTGCGGGCTCAATCTGTCGATAAAACACGTTTTGAGTCCTTGGTATGCTACGCTTGTTATGTTGAACAGAATATTCCACTGTACGCACTGTGTATAATTGGCAGATGGCCGGTGGCATTTGGGATTCAGCGTACAAAGTATTCTCAAGAGAGGCATGGTGAAACGGTAACGAGCCTACCCGCCAACCTGTGAACAAGAACAGACAAGCTTTGGCGAATGGAACTGGGGCTTTAAGCGACTGTCCTCAACGGCCCTCCAAAGACCATGTTTGCAAAACGAGAATAACCCACTGAGTCACACCGGCAATGTCAGATTAGAGAGCCAAATAAGGGCTGACGATTTGTTCTACCGCATGGTGACAAAGAACATGCAAAGACGATACGTGATAAAGACCTTCGGTAATCTGCTCTAGCCGGGACGTGACAACCGTGTCTCGCCTGTATCTTCATTCATGATCAACAATGTTCGGCTAAAAAAAAAAAAAAAAAGATAATTCTCTTGTGTTGGGTCCAAAATGTACAGTGCGAATCCAGCCCAGTTTGCTGTGGTCCCAAATATGACAAAAATCTTTTTTTTTTTTTTTAATCTACAGATGGATCTGACATAATATCATTGACACAAAAAGAGCTGAAAGAGTTTCCTTCATTGGGTAAAATGGTTACAAAGTGCGTGTGTGTGTGTGTGTGTGTGTGTGTGTGTGTGTGTGTGTGTGTGTGTGTGTGTGTGTGCATACTCCCACGGATCCTGTTTCTGTAAGAGCACCAAATATGCATCAGACCCTATAAATGGCGATCAGTGAGAAGAAAATACAGCGCAACCTTACAATCAACCCTGGGTGATTATAAGCAAGTCTAGTATAATGTTTAGATTTCAAAACTAATCAACCAATTAAGATCAGGTATATATTGGTAAAACTATTGTCATCATACAGTATGTCCGTCATAAACTGTACAGGCAATGTTTAAAGTAACATTTTAACAATATCAGCAAGTCAAGTGTAAGATGTTGACGCTTCTAATTAGGTCATGGAAAGGCCCTTTTGGAATCGCTGCTTTTATTATTATTAATCTTCGGCAAATTAATTGCCTTTTGGGGGGCTTCAACATGGCCAAAAACCTTTTTTGGGGGATGCAAATGTATCCAGGTCAAAAGATATCGAAGAATTTTAGGAGTACTAACATTACGCCGAAAAATTCATTGGTGATTTCCATTGGGAATTTTGAGAACAATTTGGCATCGATAATCAACAATGCTGTGTGGACGGGCCATCATCATCATCATCATCATCATCACCATCATAATACAATGCATTGAAAAGACTGAAGGACCCATACCCAAAATGCGACAGGAAGTTGGCCGTGTGCAAATTCCAGGGCTTGTACATTGACTACAAAGGAACCCGATTGCCCCAGTGAACCTGGGTTGGGCAACACCCCGTTGCAAAGGTTTTTGCCCACGCTATCTATCGTGCTTGGAACATGGCCTCGAATTTCAATGATTCGTCATGGAGCCACACTGAAAAGCAGTGACGCACACTTTTAAAGACTCTTATCTTATTTTCATTGTTAACATTCGCTTCAAATCAACCATTATGTACATAACGTGCAGTAAAACATTAAATCACGCTTTTAGAAGCAACACTTCCGCTTTGTCATCCAATTGACTAGCGGCACTCATTGTCAACTATTGACCTTGAAACACTGACAAGAGTGATTGGACACCACCGGGTGTTTTTTTTTTTTTTTTTCTCGTCCCGTTCCTTTTCTTCTCTTAACTACTGTCCTGATTTCAGACAATGCCACCAAACAAACACACACAGTTGACGCTTTTATGCTGCCTTAAATAAAGTCTCGTGAGGTCATCATGCATTGTGCCAGGTTGACGTTCAACATTTGTATGACATTTCCAGCAGGTTTTTCCAAAAAATGATGTCCGAGCTCCAATTTTGACCAGCTTTCCACCTGCTTCTGCTGATCGTCTGCGCAAATAGACTCTGCCAAATTGTTTCTCTTGTAACTACTCTGCATCTCATTTCGAGGTCACTGTTACAATTCTCCTGATGAATGACAACTTACCACCAGCGACCAGCTGCACGGCCTCCCATTAAAAACCCCATTCGCTCGTCAAAAAAACACTTCACTTGTTAAACTCTACTCAACCCCATCCAATTACAGATTTTCTAAATACGACAGTTTATTTCCTGAGTAGCTGAAGAGTGTTGACAGTATCGCCGGTTGTGCAATGACTTCAGTCTCATTAAATTGTTTTCTTGCCCATTGATTTTTTTTTTTTTTTTTTTTGGCTACGCTCACCCAAGGTTGAGGGGGGCTTTCCATATGCTCTGAATGGGACTCTTAATTGATGAGCAAATGTAGCGGATAAAGTACGAGAAACTTCTTCTCATTAGGCCTGTGACGAGTAAGGTAGGAGTTGAAAGGAGAACAGACTGGAGTCACAAAGGTAAGAAAAGGCTCCTGTGATTGCAGAATGAAAGCTTCCTTGTAGGCCCTGAGCTGGTAGCGGGATATATTTACAGCAGTACAACGCCTTCACGAGACTCTCACGGCAACCTTTTTAGGATATTCGCCCAAATTCAAGGAATGTTACGTCTGATTCTGAACATGATGCAACTTCACCTTCGCCTTTAACAAAAACAGAATGAAAGCTGGCGACTGCATTGTGCCTCTTGACTGGAACAACACACACACACATGAACCAAGAGGGAATGAATAATGACGTGTCATTTCTATGAAGGAAATGCATCTTGGAGTGCAGGAAGGAACTAAAGGAGCTTAAGGACTTAAGAACCACAATCCTGGCAGCGACAATGACTACCATGACTATGAAGTCTCTGACGCCGATAAATAAATAAATAAAATAAAGTAAACAGAAGTTGGAAACAAGATGGAGAAGACAAACTCCAATGAGATTTGGTGACCGAAGAATCTAACAACGTATGCCACATTGGTAGTTCCTTCTATCGGTTAAAAATGAGCCAAAAATTAAAATCGATATCATCATGAGAGAAAAAGACCTTGCTTATTTTAACGGAGTCTGGAAGTGTTTGGCACTCCCGCAGTTCCTGCTGCCTCCAGAGGATGACACACGGAATCAAAGTGTTTCCAAGTGGATCTCCCCGAGGAGGCCGACTTGAACAGCTGTCACTGAACCTCTAAAGTCATTCAAACAACACAAACAGACCAACTAAGTGGTTGGTATGTCAAAAGATCCCTCAGCTCAGACAACAAAGAC